CCCCACCGATTGCGATGCTCAAAAGGAGGCCGAGGACATCGTAGTCCGTCTCTCTACAGCCACGTCGGAGGGAGATGCGCAAGCTTTCGCGGGGCTGTTCCTCGATTATGGTGAGATCCTTCGTAAACAAGATCCCCAGCCTCAACCTTTTAGCTGACCGCGGATGTACAGGCGTGTGGCGTGACAAACTCTCATTTTCCTGGGACTTCCGCACGTTCAACTTCAGAGAGGCTATCTTAAAAGCCGCTACCGATCTTTTGCCTCAAACCAAGGCTAGAAATTTCAAATTTCTCGAGCCTGCACCTTCGGTGTCTCGCCCTTACCCTGACTTCTCTCAGCTGCAATTTGTTGTATCCTTCGAGACTGAGATTGTCCTTGCTTCGGCCGTCATCAATGCAGTACTCACTCAAGATGGCTGGAGGATTTACACCATGCATACTGTTGCCGAGAGCCTCAAGCAGTTCCCCGAGCAGACCGCACCAGATGGACACATGACTGGTATCACTAGCTGGGAGACTCAGAGATCCGAGGCCATCAACACTGTTGACCCCGAGGTGCTGATCATCGGTGGTGGTCAAAAGTAAGAACCCATGCAAGTGAGCTCTGTGATATAGTGCTAAATTGTTTCTACTAGTGGTCTCGCTATGGCAGCGCGCTTGAAGGTCCTTGGTATGGAACACCTGATCATCGAACGCAGCGACGAAATTGGAGATATCTGGAAGCAGCGTTACGAATATCTTTCACTGCACTTCCCACACTGGCCCGATGCCTTGCCATACTTTAAATACCCTCAGCATTGGCCCACATATACCCCAGCTCAGAAGCAGGGTCTATACATGAAGTGGTATGCTTCCGCTCTGGAGCTCAATGTCTGGACCAAATCGGAGGTTGTGAAGGCCGAACAGGACTCCGAGGGTAAGTGGACCGTTGTCATCAACAAGGAGGGCAAGGAGACTCGCACGCTGCACCCTAAGCAACTCATCATAGCCACGTCGCTATGTGGCGTCCCTTCCACCCCGGCCTTGCCTGGCATGGCTGACTTCCAGGGCGTGATCCGTCACTCCAGCGCCCATAAGAGTGCTCGTGACTTTGTCGGAAAGAAGGTCTGCGTCGTCGGGACCTCGTCCTCGGGCTTTGACACAGCTTACGAGTGCGCCCGCCTGGGAATTGATGTGACCCTCCTCCAACGGTCACCGACTTACGTCATGTCTTTGACCCATTCTGTTCCACGCATGCTTGGAGGTTACGCGCCCGACGAGAATGGCAATATCCCGGATATCGAAGTGCAGGATCGTCTCATGTTCTCTACCCCAGTTGGACCTGGCGAGGAAATTGCCAGGCGCACCGCTAAGGTTCTTGAGGATCTCGACCGGCCCCTGCTCGAAGCTCTTAACGCTCGAGGCCTGCGAACATGGCGCGGCCAGCGTGATACTGGCAACTTCACACTAGGTCAGACCCGGAACGGTGGTTTCTATTTCGATGCCGGTGCTTGCGAGGAAATTGTCAATGGCAACATCAAGGTAGAGCCAGGCTTCATTGAGAAGTTCACCAAAGATAAGGTAATCTTGAACGGCGGTCGTGAGGAGGAGTTTGACCTAGTCGTCTTTGCCACCGGATTTTCGAACACCATCGACTCCATCCGAGCCACCTTAGGGGAGAAGATTGCTAGCCAATGCGGACCTATTTGGGGTATTGATGAGGAAGGCGAGTACAAGACGGCCTACCGGGAGACGGGAGTGCCGAACATGTGGATCATGGTTGGTTTCCTTCCAATGACCCGGTATGGCTCCAAGTTATTGGCTTTGCGGCTGAAAGCGCTGAAGGAGGGCATTTCCCCACATCCTTACAAAGTCTGAGTTCCATGGATGAAATATATTGTTCCTTAAAAGACCGAGTTTTGTTCATCAACTTGCTAAATTTCGTAAATAAGAAACAAATATGAAAGTGCAGGTGACACACGCTGAGATGTTTCTGGGGGAACCGAAGGATCACAGTGACCGCAGTTTCATCATCCGTGTTAAAGAATCTTAGCGACTTGATCTCCTTCCCAAGAAACTACGACTACGACAATTGTAAAGGAGCAGAGAGGGAAACTAGGCAAAGGTTGCTTACCATTTCAGCACAAGTGATATGTTTAGGTCAAAGTTGTTACAACTTGCCCTTGGACTGGCGAGTTACAAACTAGGCCAAAAAGACCACTATATCTGAGCGTTATGCTCAGATAGACCAGGCTCCGATATATATAGTGCATGACATGACAGAAGTCAGTTTCACGCTTTTTTATTTTCACTTCTTCGATCGCTGCATGTACTCCGCCATCACTCCGATCGGATTACATTCGATTTCTTCTACTTCGGCAGGACAGGTTTCAGCGATCAGCCAATTTCATTATTTAAATGTATATCTCCTTTTCAGTCTATAACAGTGGTATTTGCCATAGAGGATTACACGATTCCAGATCCAACTCTGGGGAATTCACTGCTTGTACCAGTCATCGAATCCGAGATCCCATCCAAACAGAGGCGTATTGATACGCTTCGCATTTCCTTGTGCAGCCAGGCCATTCAGCACATCCATATCCTCGTGTGAGAGAGGGATGACTTGACTGTTGCTCACGATTCGATTTTCGTTAATAGACTTAGGCAGTACAACAACGCCTCTGTTGACGTGGTAGCTGATGAGTACAGTAGCGGGTGAAACATCATTCTTCTTAGCGATCTCCTGAATTACGGGATTAGACATGAGCGGAGCACCTGGAAACAAGCAAGTTAGCTAGCGTTATCTCATGGCAACTCCACATAGCGTGTGAAGGAGCACTTACCTTCGGAACCAAGTGGTGAATACGCCTCGAGGAGGATTCCATGCTTGTCGCACCAATTCTTCAGTGCGTGCTGAGGAAGGAAAGGGTGTAACTCGACTTGGTTGACAGCAGGGACCACGGTCCACTTCTTTTTGAGCTCCTCTAGATAAGGAATCGACCAGTTGGCCACGCCGATCGCCTTGACTTTGCCGGCCTTGTAGACCTCCTCCATTTGGCGCCAGGTCTCACTCTGGTCCCAGGATCGGTCGATGGACCGCGTGCCATCGGGATTGACTGGGAGAAGTGCACTCGACTCGTTCTGTGCGTTCAAGTTAGCCATGCATATGTCATGATGGAGGGATATAGCGGAGTGACTTACAGGAACAAGTCGGACTGGCCAGTGGATGAGCTGATGTTTGTGTTAGCCAAGCTGTCGAGAGGCGTGCCTTGTCTACCCAAAAGAGAAAAGGGTTAATTTACGTAGAGATCGAGATAATCCGTGCCTAGAGCGTCAAGTGTTTGTTGGAGACCTTCCCCAACATTAGGCTGGTGGGTGTTCCACAACTTGCTGGTGATGAAAATGTTTTCGCGGGGGACACCACTATCCTTGATACCCTGGCCGACTTCATGCTCGTTTCCTAGTTATCCCGTTAGACCCTAAGTAGCTTGCTTGTTTTCTTTGTTACAACCAACCGTATATCCTATCATTTGTTAGCCAAGAACATGCGCTACAAAAGTGACATGGGAATCTTACAATGCTGCATCAATGTGACTATATCCGTTCTTGAGGGCGAACGAGACTGCTTGGCGTACCTGACCAGGTTCAGATCTCCAAGTACCTGTATTTCTGGTCAGCAAAATCGCTAAGGCCCGCAGAAACCAGCGCTTGTATCGTACCAAGTCCCACGGTGGGGATCTGGGCGCCAGTGTTAAGCTTGAAATGAGTCGAAGGTGCCATATTGGTTGTGATGGAAGATTATGGTGGTGGGAGACCGAAGTGTAGGGACCTGTGGCGTTATGCTACACTTTCGGAGGGAATCATGCAGGACGCGAGAAAGACTTATAAATAGGACCCTTTCTATAGTTGGGAGGGTGCCCCCGCGTGATATCAGGCGAAGTTCAGGTCCGTTTGCCCGGCTGTGACCCGAGACACGTTGGCCGACTTGTCCTGAACATCCACCCGATAACTCTTTTACCTGAATAACAAGTGCGTGATTTATTTGCGGATCCAAACTTTCAATCCACACCCGTTCGCAGCACGATACGCCGCGACCTTCCTAATACGCTAATATTGTCCCCATAAGGGGCGGAACGTTGAAACGTGGGGGAAGGCCCACAATGCGCCGTAACCTTCCGAATACGGTAATATTCCCCCCACGACCGAAAGGCAAAGAGTATAGTCTTCCCTAGTCGGAACAGTGGATTCTTCCGTTCAGATTTGCTGACAGATCTAGGATACCGAATTATGTCATTGCGGAGCCGCAGACTGAGGAAGTCGTAAAATTATTCTTAAGCGAGAAGTCCTCATAGCTACCTTTATGCTTTTAACTTCCTGTCCGCTTAAATCTCTAACTTAGAAGTAAATTCAGGGTAAGTGTTCTTTCGACCTATAAACCTGGACTTACTAAGCCTAGTGCTATCAGATTATGCTGGTTGAAAATGATACTTGATCTGAAAAGTAATCGTGTGTAAGAGCTCCAGTCCCGGTGAGACTCCACTTAACGGATCTGATAAGATATGGTAGCTAAACGTGACTTGTCGACACATACTATATTCTTCAGATGCGGTTCTTGGCTTATTCGCGATGAAATAACTCGTATTCCCGAAGACCAAAAACCGAGACTGCATTCGATCCAAGGGGGAAATTAAACTTATCCTGGTAAAGTCGAATAAATATGTGGTGGCGAGTGATGAGTTCAAATCTGCTGGCGTCATTTAATTCAAGTACCACCAGACCAAAGGAGACATGAGTGGTAACTCCGCAATCACTGTAATCATACATATGATCTAAAAGTAGTACTGTTTAAGAAACCGAACTGACATTCTTGTTGGTGCAGGGTTGTTGTCTTGAAGAATAAAACCACTCCGGCAAATGTGTTAACGTACGTAAATGCAAGGAATACAAAAGAAGCACCTGAGTATAACTAGCCAGACTTCCGTGAGGACCACTGGATCTAGCACGCCGTCTAACTTCATTTCATCACTGAGCCGCTTCCCAGGCCTCGTCCACGAACGGCTTTGCCCCCATCATTTTCCAGCAAGCTTCAGATTTCAACGCGATGTCCTTCGACTTGCGGGTGAGAAGCATGTCCCTCAAGCCGTCCGTAAGGTAGATCACGTTTTTATCCTGTACTAGTCAGCTGTCGGTACTTTGCAAAACTCGGTCAATGGCCATTTACCAATCCAAGTGTCAACTCTATACCGCCTTCCATCAACATATCGGAGTGATACATGGTGAGAGGTTGGCCTTGAATTGCGCGGAGAACGTTATTGCTCACAACCTCTGCTTGTTGTGTGGCAGAGCGACCATTTTTGGGACCCGTGGACGCAACGACGTCACCAGCCGCGTAGATATTGCTGAACCGGTCGTCCGCGATCTGCAATGTAGACTTCACCTTCACAAAGCCTCCTGGGGGTGAGACAGCATCAGGGCAAAGCTCGGCGATGATATCCGACGCAGCCTTTTGGCCGGTGCATCGAACCTTAGGGCGGATAAGCCTCCATTCAAAATGCCAATCAGGTATACATACCAATAGATCACAGGGGATCTCTGCTCCCGTCCCCAGCACCACACTCCCGTCATCCTCGCTGTGAGTCTGGATCCGCTCGCCTAGGATCACGCGTACACCCAACCCTTCCAAGGCTTCGAGCGCAACGTCATGGACCTTCGTTCCAAAGTTGCTCAGCAGTGTCTTCCGCGAATGGATTAATGTCACATTTTTATGAGGGTTGTCGCTCTTGACATCCGTAGCAAGTTCGACGCCAGCAGGACCCCCGCCCACTATCACCATATCACTCGCGTTCCGGATCCGATTTTGCAAGCTCTGCAGGACCTTGATTCCCTCATTCTTCTCATTCACATTGAGCCTAGAGGGAGAACCTGCGTGGGAGCCCGTTGCAAGAACGAGGAACTCATAGTCTAGCTTGACTCCACTTTGTAGCGAGATCGTGCGCGGGCTTACCTCCAGGACGGTATCCTGTATCATCCGCCAGCTCCCTTTAGGTGCTCCTTTGAAGAAGGGCCCGTAGGGGATGAAGGCTTTGTGTTCGTGTCCTTTTACCACCGAGAAACGGGGGAACACCCATGTGAATTGAAAATGCGAGCTTTTTTCGATCACGACGACTTGGTAACCGGTCGGCACAGAGTTAGCCAGCAGTTTAGCGGTGTGGTAACCTGCGAAGGAAGCTCCAATGATCACAATATTTTTAGGAGAATCCACCGGATTGTAACGGTATCGATGGATCGTGGAGGCGATTTTTCGATTGATGGCATTGCCAACGGCAACGAACACTACTCTAACAAACTTGAATATGAGGATCGTAATATTGAACATTTTTTTCTTTTGCACGTTCATGTTCAGAGGGATGTGGGGGTTATGAGACTTTTTTCCATAATTAACAAGATTGTTTAGCCATTCTCGGCATATAGATGTCCGAAGACTTCGACCGAGCAATGTTATCTCCGTCGAGATCAACGAAGCCGAGCATCCGAAACCTAAAAATTTCTATTATTTCCTTGTATATTCATTTGGTTTTTTTCTTTTCCCCCTTCGCCCTTCAGTTGTTGCTGCCGACGATAAATTCTGTTTTTAAGGTCAATAGTCCTTTGTCATATAATTAAAACCGAGCCTTGATTATGTGAAGCAACACTTTCTTCACAAAATCGAAGCTCTACGACGTACACGTGAGATAGATTTCGAATCATTAGAAGAGTGTAATCGTACAAAGAATAATAAATATTATCGCCCAAATTCACGTTGAGCTACTGCTAGCCCAGGATGTGAGCAAGATACGGCAAGTGCTTTTATGGAAGAATATCTACTTGCATGGTATACGCTGGGACGAAGCCTGCCTGAAATAGCGAGTCTACTATGTGATAATGGCTTTGCATGACAAGCTCGAGTGTTTATTTGGGACAAAAGTCTTGACTAAAATATAATGTTCAGGATAGCCAAAAGCCTTGCGATAAAGCTAGCCCTAACCTGGGTGCTCGATGTCGAGCTGCGATCGCTCCAGACAAGGTTCGAATTGTCTTTGTCAAACTCGCTGGGAGGGTCTTTTTCCAGCTAGACTCACCGAGACTTTTTAGCTTCGGCAGACTCAGGTCTCCCTTGGGTAAGAATAGCCAACTCCTCATAGTATGGGAGGTCCCATGAATTCTGTTCGCGCAAAAACCATTGCGCAACTGCATCAATACCAAGCAACGCAGCCAGCCACAAGATAAAGTGCATCACAGAAATGCCCCATTGGGTCTTTGGGGCTACAATGTTTGGCATGCCGGGTCCCAGAGTTTGGACCTCCGTCATGAAGGGTCGAAATTTTCTCTCGTACTCCCTCAAAGCGTGGAAAAGAGGGTCCTCGAGGCCATCGGAAGATTGAAGATGGCTGCAGTACTTGCCAATCTCCCCTGCCAGTACATAGGCACCGGTAAGGCTCGATGTGGTACCCATCCCTGTGGCTGGAGATGGGCAATAAGCAGAATCCCCGACAAGAACCACCCGACCATGAGACCATGAGTCCAGCCTCACCTGCCCCACTTCCTGGTGGTAGAAATCGGTTGCCGCCTCATCATTCTGCATACAACGGATGATTCGTGGTGTTTTCCAGGCAGCGTCGGCGAAGAGTTCGGCCCAAGCTTTCTTTTGCTCGTCGGTATTACTCTTCTTGACATTATCCAATTTGTCCGAAGCAGTGCAGTAGCCGAGATATGCCTGGATTGTGTCTGGGGCATGTCTTCGAGTGAAAACAAAACGTTTTCCTGGAGCGTTGTAAAGGGTGCTCATGTATTCATCTCCTTCTTCTCGAGGAATTGTGAAGTATGCGATGTATAGGTTGAGAAAGTGGAACGGGTCTGGGGCGTTGGGTTCGAGCATCATCCTCCGAGTACGCGATCCCTGTCCGTCCGCACCGACCAAAAGATGGAATTGACCTTCCTTTCCATCTGAAAATTTCACACTGACTGAGCCGGCACCTTGTTCAAAACTGTCGACGTGTACACCGAATATGTACTTGACACGGGCCTTGCTAAGGTCGTACAACATGCGGCAGAGGTCTCCTCTCATAATCTCGTATTGAGTTGTGAAACTCTGTAATCCCTTACCCGACGTATTGACTGGGTAGAAAGCCTTCTGTTTTCCGTGGTCATCGACAAACTGCATTCCCGCTTCTTTGATGCTTTGAGAGTCGAAACGGTCTTCCAGGCCCATACGCTTCATGACTGGGATACCGGGGCCCCGTAGATCGAGCTGCTGCCCACTGACACGGAGACTGGGGAATCGTTCGATGACTGTAACATCATGGCCTAGTTTTGAAAGCCAGAAAGCGAGGGCAGGACCAGCAATACCTCCACCGCAGATGAGGATTTTCAGGGGTGCCATAGCGGAGTAAGGACTAAGTGAGCAGTAGGCACACAATGGTTGGCTCAGGTGACAGAGCTGTGTGATGCTGCCACGTCGTAGTCCTGCAGGTGGTGTTGGTGCGTACTGTCCATACTCGTTGCGGCTGCTTTAAATAAAAAAAAAACAGGGTTGACCTTTTGCGAGCTGGCATTGCGATATCTCCGTCGTTACGGCCGGTGGTCGCGTCAAGGAACATAGCTGCAACATTGTGACATCATCTCCGAGAGTTGTATTAAATGGCTCATCGGTTAAGGAGAAACAAGAATCAGGGGTAATCCCGTACGACATATTGTCAGCCTTTGACGAGGTGCGGGCTTTGCAGGAGTTCTCGGCGGTAGGAGCATCGGGTTATGGCCTCGGGGCCGTTGAAGATCGGAATATGGAGATTTTAGATTTCCTCTATGCGGTCAATCAATCAATCAAAGGTCAAGTAACCTGTTGCTTCTCCGTTCTCTTACTATCGTTCGACGTTTGGCTAAGTCATATAATCAAATCAATACAATTCTAGATCGTCCCTGCTTGACCGAGTAATTCTTTTTAGCAGTTCTTCCCTTCAATACGCGCGAGCTTTTGATTTTGAATACAGTCAACAATTCTTTAATCATAGAAATAGAAATAGTATATATACATGGGTTATTTGGGACTGGGCATCAATTATTCTAGCATGCTTCCAAAAACTTTCCAGTCTCAAATCCGGGCGAATAGCCCCTTCTCCATCATCAGCTTTGTCGCCAAAACCAACGCCGCACCAACCAGAGTCGAGACTCCGCTGAAGATGGCGGCCTGTGTATAACTCTTGTAGTGGTCTATCAGCGCGCCTGTAATCGGTGTACCAGTTAGGCCAGCCAGTGAAATAACAGCCATACCCATACCAAGGTAAGTACCGATGTGACTGGGTGTGGGCGAAAGATGCGCGATGCAAGGGGACATCAGGGAGACGATCGCCCCGGAAAAGAAACCGTAAAGGGCTGCAAATACGATAATGGCCGCGTTTGATTTGACAGCAATCCAGCAAAGGAGGAGGATGCCCGTCGATGAACCAAAACAGCAGATTGTGTTGAACCGCCCCACTTTGTCCGCCATAACACCAGGTAGGAGTCGACCGAAGACCGAAGCGGCATTGAGAATAGAAAGAATGTAGGAAGACAAGTTGACGCTCATCCCCTGTGCGATGGCATATTCTGTCAGATAGAAGAACGGGGTGAAAACGCCCCAAATCATCAGGAACATCCCGGCCAGAAACAAGGAGTACGCCACTTGCTTGAAAGCAGAAGGGATCAAAACTTTGCCACTTCGCGGGGGCAGACGTGGTCGAACCGTAGCCAACGACAAGGACAACATAGCTAACATGATAAATCCAATGATCCGCACCGTCCAGCCGAAGCTCAATGACTCGTTCTCAAACATTTTGCTCAATGCGATTGGGAAGATAACTCCTCCCAGCGAAGAGCCGGTGACAGTTATTCCAAGTGCAGCACCTCTCTTCGCTTGGAAATAATGGCTGACTGCGGCCATTGCCGGCGAAAACATGATACCGTCAGTTAGTCCGCCAAGAATACCCTGTGCCAGCATGAATTGATAATATTCCTTGCAAAGGGATGTCATCATAACGGATAATATAAACGCGATGGCAGCGGGCCATATGACCTAGTAGTGTTGTGAATTGTTAGGCCATTGAATCAATACGCTTCACAGGTCAGAAAACAATCACCTTTGCGCCATATTTGTCAAACAAGGGACCTCCTACTATTCCACCACCGAGCAAAAGGCAAGTCTGCACAGATCCTATCCATGCGATTGTTGATGCAGACTTGTCCATGAGTTGATGCGTTGAGTAGTAGTTTTGGAAGACGCTATATTGACGAACAAATCAATGATAGTTCTGCAAGTCCTTCCACCGATGACACTTACCCATATGCATTCAAATAGCCAAAGGTACAAAATGAAATGCAGAAGGCTCCAGCAACAACGCTCCATGCACGAAGTCCACCTTCCGGGAAGGCGACTTGCGGCTGGTCTGCTTTAGCTTCTTTCTTACGACCAAGGTTACCTTCCTCGAAGGTCGTATTGTTCAGGCTATGCGTATCGGTCTGCATAATATCGGTTCTAGCTCAAAGGCAAGTGAAAGGTAAAGCAAGTTAATCAATAACGGTGGATAGAATAGAAGGCAAAAATAAGAAACTCTTTGCGTATTCACCGCAAATGTCATTTGAGGTTGCTTTTAATATTCCATATTTCAGTCGACCAATTTGGGCTCGGTCAACTCGGGAAATTGCTGTTGGTCCGGGCCAAAAACTAAAGCCCGCCCCGAGTAGACACCATCGCCAAATCCATCGGAGATAAATGGGAGCGAACATAATATCGGAAAATTGTGGGACTGGACGGCCGTTTGTGATTCAACACATGTCTGGACCCGCTCCGGAGATATTGGATAGAAGCTCACCCTTTCTTCGATAATCCCCAATCCGGACTTTACACGTCCTTGACGACACACCACTTACCCCCCATTTATCACAAGCTTTACCGTTGTTTAAACCTAAGAATAATGCTTCCAAGGCCATCACCCAGGAAACGCCGTCGTCCAGCCCTGGCTTGTGCTTCATGTCGGCGCCGTAAGGTCAAATGTGACCAGAACAGTCCTTGCGGGCAGTGTACACAACGTAACTTCGGCTTGTGTACCTACACAGAAGATGTCCGGACAATAATAACTGAGAAGAAAAAACGAAGGCCTGAATTTGCTGTTGCGACTGAAGTTAGTGGAGGAGATGCGTGCATCTTGAACCAACCCCAGTATCTTAACAATATCACCGACCAAGGGGCTCCCGGAGACACCACAAGCGCAGCTGAAGCCAGCTTAACTGAGAGACCCTCCGGCTCTCACCAACCACACAATACTTTCCTCGCCAGCCACAAAACGACGGAATCTCCGCAAATCTCATCTACATCTGGTCCGATCTTGGGTACCTTGTCGAAGACAAGAATATTTGGTCATGGCCATTGGATGAACATATTTCCTTTGGTATGCGCACCTTTACTCTGCTTATATTTGTCCTTTGCCGTTGCTGATGAAGATTGCGGGTGAAAACAGGCGGAAAGTCTGCCAACCTTGGATCCCATAACCCATATCGGACCCGTGACACCCCAACAAACAAGCGACGGTTCAATTCCTGGAATCTCAAACGTGTTGATGAAATGCAAACAGCTTGCTCGCGACATCAAATCACAACGGCCCAGTCGAAGTTCACTGCCCGCCGGCATACATCAGACCTTCCCTGACCCTGCGGTGACAAACCAATTGGTGCAAATATACTTCGATTCTTTTGAATCATGCTTGCGCATACTTCATTTTCCATCATTCCGAGCAGAATATGAGGGCTATATGAAAGATCCGGGAACTGCAAAGGCCTCCTTCGTGGTGACACTGCTACTAGTGATGGCTAATGCAACTTCCTTGCTTGACGATGTCGGCTTACAGCAGGAATGGCGCGCGAAAGCCCGCAACTGGATTCATGTTGCTCAAAGTTGGGTCTCCGCACCCATCGAAAAAGATCGCCTCTCACTAGATGGTCTACAAGTTTATTGTTTGCTTCTTCTCGCCCGCCAGGTGAATTGTGTCGGGGCGGATTTAGTCTGGATCTCAGCTGGCTCATTAATGCGCATGGCAATACAAATGGGGTTGCATCAAGATCCCGACCACCTAGGAGGAATGACGCCGCTACAAAAGGAGACCCGAAGAAGACTCTGGTACACGATTTTAGAGATGAATGTGCAGGCTGCTTTGGACTCAGGCATGCGTCCCATGGTCACTGCCGATGATTTTGACACCCGGCCGCCCTCAAATCTCAACGACGAGGATTTGGACAATAAAATGCAGTGGGATTCTCCTAAGGAAATGCTTCCAACGCCAACACGGGCTTCATTCCAATGTCTATTGGCCTCTTCCGTGCTCTTAAGGCTGGAGGCTACCAGGGTCATCAATGCGTTGCAGGAGGAGCCTCCATATGATCACGTTCTTCGTCTCGGAGAGGAGTTAGCGTCGGTTTGCCGCAAGGCGACCGTCTCCATTGATCATCACAAGTCGGTTGCCAAGAACCTGTGGCCGACAGAATTTCCATATAGCTGCTGTGATCATTTTCACCGTCGATTCCTATTGTGCCTCCACCTTCCTTATGCAGCCAAAGCCGCGCACAATCCGATGTACAGCTTCTCGTCAAAGGCAGGCTTTGAAGCCGCGCTTGATTTACTCTCACTACTTGATGACGAGATATACCGTCGCCTACTGCTTGTTGGTGGTGGCATGTTTCGAGATATTCTGACGCGTGGCGCTCTATTGGTATTTTTAGAATTAATCACACAGCTGGAAAGGGAGAGCTCTGCGTTTGTGAAGAAACGCAACCAGGCACGCAGAGAGCCGTTCTTAGAAGACGCGAGGAACATCGTCCAGTACGCCCAAGATAGACTTTCCTATGGTGAGACGAATGTGAGGAGTTATGTGTTTGTGAGTATGGCCATGGGTCAAGTGAACGCCATGCTCAGCGACTTGTCGACCAAAGATGCCATTGTCAAGTCTGCAAGCGAGAGTCTAGAAGTCTGCCATGGCATACTGAGATCCACAGCTGCTAACTTACTCTCGAGAATTACTGTAGACCCCAATATGGCATGCGGGATAGGCTGTGACGCAATGGCAATACCCTCTGTTGATGACATCAATTTCGATTTTATGAACGATGGAAACATTGACTTTGAACTGGCAGGCTCTTGGTTAGTACGGCAATAGGAGGACAAAGCATGGTCCTAATCTTTATTCGCCTAAGTGGATGAAAGGGTGAGAAAAGACGGGGTCTCTGCCCCAAATCACAAATCAATTGAAGGCGTTATGGTTGAGATATATGCATCGAAATTTATTATGTTGAGATATATGCGTCACTCCCGAGGTCCGTATTAGATTACATTCGATGTTTGTCAGGTGGAGAGCTTCTCCCTCTTCCTTTCTCCCTCCAGTCTCTCTTTTAGCATAATCACCCTAGGTAGCGTGACACCCGCACTAATCTCCTTAAGTGACACGGAGCGCGATATGGTTAGATTATAAGTTGAACCTACAACGCGATGTGGTTTCCTGATCTGCTCCTGTGATCCACACTTGACACTCCCGTCCCCTTCCTCACATCCAATCGAATCACTTCCAGGGTCCAACCTGAAGAAACGAGACAAGTATGGTGATTCTCCTTCTATGATATACCTAAGCCTTGGCTAATGGTTACTAGGCAGATCAATGTGTTAGCTGTAGCCCGAAGGTGAAACATCCTCCCTACGTCTTTTCCCGCAATAAGATCAATCAACAGATCTATCTGGATGACCTCGAGAGAACCAAGGACAGCTGCTGATATATCGAAGAGCTACGAGATCCTTCTCCACGATGTATCTCAGATCGTATCCGCAGAAATGGTTCTTAGCCACCAGCCTCAACAGGAGCACACACAAACTTATCAACCAGTGCCATACTTGACAATTATGCAACCATACCTATCGCCGTGAATTGTCTCCGGCAGATCGAGCCCCAAAGTTGATGCCAGGGCAGGTTTGCTAGCTGGCCTCAAAATATGCTGGGAATCAAAGTCAGAAGAGATCCGATCGATCGAGATACAACAACTGGGATCGCAAATGGGACACGTTTAAGGGGTCACAGGATGTCTTGCACCTGACAGTTCACGGACTAGCCCCGGCAACTTCTTTCTAGCCTTCCATAGCCTTTTCCGATATTATATGGAGCGTGAGCTCGGAGTTTTCATTGTATTATTACAAGAATAGTCGGCCGCTTATGCGGTCTTGTCATGTCTTTTTGGATGTTTTTTTAGGTGTATATGGAGGCAGTGAAAAAAGCATACTTTGTGCAATAGACTTTTCTATGTATAACCTTTGACTGTGCCAATGCTGGCGGCAGAACACTGGCCAGTTGGGTTACATTCCGGGGACCTGAAATAGTATTGCAAATAAATCCGAGATCCGGTTGCGCCGGCTTTAAATTGATGCTGAAAATTAAATCACATGTCCTTCGTGTTTTCCAAGCTCATGCTCGTCCCCGTAAACGCTAGATATCGGCCATTGTCGTACACACCCTCCGAAATATGTACCCGTCCAGTCCTTTTGCTGCGCGGTCACGATTTAGGCGCTTCGGGATCGCCCTCAGCGACCAGCTTTCCAACAACCAGGTATTTCTCCAAGAAGCGGTCTTCCCACGACTGTAGGTTCTCCAGCTGCTCCGCATCCAAATCCTTCAGGTCATCCAACGGTGCCGATAGGTCCTTGGTGAGCATCTCCTCATCGAAGCTCTGGAAAGCCAAGCCACGCGAGGCGTCCCGACCAGCGAAGTTCTCGTAAGGTCCACCCTATTCCAATCGTTATAGTCAGCTTCAGCTCCAACGGCGCTATCCGGTGACATTTCACAAATTCCAAACACATACCGGCCCATAGAAGTTTCTGCCAGGGGTGACATCGAAGACACGGCCACGGACGGACAGGTAAACGGGGCGGCCTTCCTCGCCATTGAACTCAATAAGAGTTTTGGGGATGTAGGTCTTGAAGACGGTTGGCGGCGGAGCACGGGGGAGAGTGATTGGCGCTTTGGGGCGGAAGTGCCAGTACACCAAGACTCCAAATAGGGAGACTAGGATCAAGTTGATGGGGGAAGCGATAGACATCCTGTTGGGTAGCGAGCGGTTAGTTGGGTTGGTGTCCCATCTTCCATGCCGTATCCTATGACATCGAATGAGATGTGGGAGACACGAACACTTCAGCCTGTGGTGTTGAGTTATCTGCAGTCTCCAGATTAGCATGGATTCAGACTATGAGTAACGTGGGACACATACCCATTGAGGCAAATTATTTGGATTTGGAGAGAGCAGGAAAGGCCGGACGCTCGGGATGACATCTCCCTCCCCCGCTCCACGTGATTGGACCTTATATGGACATTCTCCTTCATTTGGCTTCTTCGGCTTCGGGTTATATTTAGGAATTATCTATTTGGCTCCTTTTTTTCACATGTAAAGTGATTGGAGACTAGGCTCTCGGACTTCAAGATTCAAAAACGTAAAACGCCCGGTAGTCCCTGAAATGTTTCAAGAGCTCTCTCCACTGGACTATCGCCCCCATTTTAATCTGCCCACTTCTATTAATATTAGCGGCCATGTTATTTCAAGTTATTTTTATAATTGATTTTCTTGTCTAGTTCTTTGCATTTGTTTAGCTACTCGAGTCGTTTCTCACTGTATAATTTTCTTGTTCTATATTCTATAGGCTTCCGTGTCAGGTTGGGCATCGAGACCAGAGCCCCCCCCCCTTCCACATTTTACGGGTTCTTTACCTCTTTTCATTCCCCTTTCGTCCTTTTTGTTGTGATTTGAACTTCTTTGTCGTTTTATGTGAATGCTGCGCTTTCATTTCCGACCAAAGTCAGCCACCTGTCACGTTTAGAGCGTGAGAAAATCGATATGTGGTCTAAAAGACCGTTCCACAAGCCCAAAGGGCCCTTGATCAGCGGCCCCATACTGAGCGACAACCCACCCACCACATCAGACCCTGTGCATAATATGGTCGCAAAAAAATTGCCCGCTCTGCCTGAGTAAGTCTCGTGTTTGTTACCTGTTTAATAGCACATCTAATGGAAATCAGCGATTTACATTCGTCGTTACAACCGGATCCTGTCCCGCGCGATGATATCAATAAGAGACACTCAGACCTCTCCCCCGCTGTTTCGCCGATGCTTGAAGCCCATAGGTGGCCAAGCCAAAGTAGTTTCTGTGTCTCGCCCATCGGCGACGGAGACCAATTTTCTGATTATGTGCGACAGGAGACTGGGGTCTCGTCATCGCCAACACCTATTCCCAAGGTAGACTATGCTGAGACACTCTCCCATTCCCGGGTTCAGCCTGTGCAACCTGTCCAGCCTCCCTATCATGAACAGCACTCTAGGCGGTTCATCTCTGGCAAATCAACGCGCTGGGATAACTTTTCAGGTGAACCAACCATGAGTGATTTTGGTAGAGCTAGCCAGGTTGATCCCCGCAACACCTCTTTCCACAAACCCCCCGGGGCCAATGCGTCCAATGCGTCCAACCTGCTAAACTGGGGCCAGGGGTTTAATGCCAAAAAGACCCTCAACGCAGCTCGAAACCGGATCAGCAGTTTCTCGAAGACCGAAGATCTTTCGCATAAGGAATCCAGGAGTAGATCGGCGTCACGTGGATTTCCGGAAGAGCATTCCAGCAAGCGCAACGGCAACGGCGCGCTAAAGACGAGTCCCCAGCTCGATAACTTTGCCTTCGCTCCTACAACTGTAACCACTATCACCGCCGGTGGTCCAGTATCATTTCCCCGGAGACCGGCCACAGAGCACGCTCCAACCCGTCTACCAGAGGGCAAACCACTACTCAAGTTCGACACCGATTTCAGCGACATGATGCTCACGAGCGACGAGCCTAGGAGCCGTTTCAGCGCAGCTACATACACGGTCACCGAACCCGGTAGTCAAGATGCAAGCCCACGGGAGAGTATGCAGCTCGAAACCCGGTCTACAGACGACCTATCCACATCCTCTATCATGGCCCGACGCCGCCCAGTCCCGATCGGCGTGCCAACTTCGAAGAAACAGCCTGACTCGAGCAAGCCCGTCCGAAAGCCCACGCCATCCCAGGTTGCACTACAGGGCGGACAGATGCCCGCGCAGTCGCCTTCGCCTCCGCCTCCACCCGAGATGCCACTAGATGCGCAGGGCCGCATTAAAGCAATGGAGACCAAGAGGGACGACCTTACTCAGCGCAGATATAGTTTGGAGTCATTGATCGCTGAATTGAGCAAGGCCCTTCAGCCTACTTCGGCTGCGTATGACCTGGCTGCCAAAGCCGAGGTTCAGAAGAGCATCAAGGGCATCGAAGGTGAGATTGCGGATATCAAGAAAGATGAGCACGATCTTGGTATGAAGATTAGTCGAGCGTGGCGTCGCCTGGACGAGAAGGAGAATTCTGGCGATGGCAATAATCTCTGGGTCAAGCGAGTCACTAGTTAGTGGCGGTTGGATTGTTTGGTCTATGCGCAGCTGATCGTGATCTCATTTCTGACTACGGTGGAGTTGTTGTTAGCATCCTGTTTAACTATACCTATTTTTCGAGGCAGTTTGCTTGTTGATTTTTCCGATATGGGGGGGCATGTGGTTGTGTTTTGAGCGTTTGATTCCCCTGCATGGCAGGTTGATACCCACTTTATTCGGAATTTGCCCAAGCTGTGGCGGTTTATGTTGATGTATTTTGGCCCGAGTAATCTCATTACTGTTTAATCAAATTAATCATTCTAGGAAACTTGTCTTTGTGAAAATGCGATCAAGCGCGAAATAGGTATTGGTGGCTAAAGATATACAGAAGACCCATGGGCATGAACTATGAGTGCAGTGATGCTGGCACGATCACACATTCGAAGCCACCCATCCTCCGCTCTCTCATTGAACATGGCTCGTGTAGGTCGTGAATATGGACTCAGGAAACCCGGTGTCAAGGCTTGGTGTGGGGATTTTTGGCGAGTGATCTATCGAGTATGCGATCCGTTTATTTCTTGCCGGACTTCTTAATGCCCTGCTGGCCGGTGTTGAGAGGGCCCTTCTTGCCCTTCGCCGCGTCCTGCATGTCCTTGCGGGCCTTGGCGTCTAGAGAAAGTTGTCAGTTAGGGATTCTCTAAATAGGATGTTCAAAAAGCCATACCAGCCCTGAGCTTGGCCTGGTGGGCGAGCTCATCCTCATCAAGATCCTTCTTCTCCTTCTTGGCAGCCTTCAAGGGCTTGGCCTTGCCACCTGTAGATTATAAAATATTAGTGAACTGGACTTTGAGAATAATAGAATACGAGGTAGAACGAACCTTCTCTGCCGATACCACCCATTTTGTCTAAATAAAGTAACTGGGAGAGCGGGTTGAAGAGAGTCTTGATAGAGCGGGGTGAGTTTACGGTTGGCAATGAGGAAAAAAAATAGTTATATATGAGGGGTGCTTATCGAGACCCTCAGTGGCCAGGTTGGGGCGAAATTCGGGTTATTTTCGTAAATATTACTAGTGGTATGTATAGTGGTATTATTTCAAGACCAAACACACTCATCATGTCTGGAGTCAAGCTGTCAACCGGGGACTTGTATTAGAAATATCTGGAAGGCTAGTCCAGGGGCGGTTAGTGGGGTATTTAAAAAATGGTAATGTCCGCCAAACTATGTTGTACGCTGCGAGGGTAGACAGCAGAAACCGAGCACACCGCCTACTACAACTGTCCTAGCGCGGACTCTGCCTTATCCTATGACCCATCAAACCTTCGACATGGCTGGCTTTGGATCCATCTCTTGTCATCAAGATCCTGTGCACGTGCTTTTATCCGCCTCTCAAGCCCGTTTCCTAGGCAAGCTATGCGCCAGGGATTTTAATCACTTTTACAAGGCTTTGGTGTGAAGGCAGGCCTTTTACAGCCGGTTGGACTTCACAAACCCTTTGAAAAGACTTATTGTCGCTGCAGCTTTTGCTAACTGAGCCTTATTGTTGAAGCTTCCTCCAAAGGCCGAGTGAAGTGAATCCAAGAGAAAAGAAGGGCCTTGTCTATGCGCCTTTGTTGAATCTCTCGAATATTGCAAGCATGTCGCATCCCAGGTCGAGGTCCCCATCGGTCCCCTCTGAGGGTGAGATCGTTGAATCAGGCCCAGAGACGAAGGCAACTGCGTCAAAACCTCCTCTTAATGGCACCACCGTTGACCGTCCCACCAGAGCTAGCCCATCCTCTGCCACCAGATCTCCCGCGTCGTTGAAAGGCACTCGATCGCGGACCAGGTCCCTATCGAGATCCCGCTCTCGCTCCCCATACAGAGAGAACAAGACCCAAAAGCGCAGTCACGACGATCTTTCTGAGTCCTATGATGGTAGCTACGACCGGCGACCCCGCCATGAGCCTCCGAGACACTACAGGTCTAGGTACGACGACAGACGCCGTGACAGACCCGCTTCCCACAGGCGCCCGAACTCATACTACGACTATGACCGCGAAGATACCCATGGAGATGCGCTACGATATAGTGATGATTATGACCGACATGACCGACACAAGGACAAGCGGCAACGCACCCGCAGCCGCAGCCGATCCCCTTACCGTGAACCAAGAAAACCCAAGCAGTATTCAGGCGACGAACTTGATTCAAACGTGGTTAATGCCAGGTCTTCAGCGGACACCGGAAGACGCTTGCACACTGAACAGTTGGTGAGGGAACGAGGAAAGGCTTCGGTCATCGCTCAGGACTTGAAGCTTGGTGCTGAAAAACAAAAGAACCAGGTGCAGGCTTCTTCTAATCGTCAAGCCCATGTGACTGACGAGTATGTTTATTCTGTTACGGACAAGGAAGAACGTATGACTAACATCCATCTCAGAGAAACCACCCCTAACCCGGAGATTGCGCAAGGGCCGGAGCTCGCTGAGCCCATTAATGAAGTCGATGCACTTGAAGCTCGCCGGAAACGCCGTGAAGCTATTCGGGCGAAACACCGAAGCCAAGCGACGCCACTACATCTCAAAGCACTGAATGTCGGTGAGGTTGAAACGGATTCGTCCACGCCTGGCACTGACCCAACTAGCGCAAAGGAGGCGTCTGGTGGGTTTCTCTCGGATAAGCTTACCTTGATCCCGACGAAACTGACGTATGTAGACTCAATAGATTCTCCAACAGCATCCCCCTTTGAACAACCCGGGGAGGCATTCCCTGGTAGTATTGGAAAAGACATGGACATCGTCAGCTCCAATGCGCCTGTTGCCGGTACAGATAAGGACGATCCCTCTGCTGCTGATTATGATCCAACTCTTGATACAAAGCAAGAAAGACAGAAACATGGTAATGTACAAGGTGGAAAGGACGACATTTCCTCTGCAGCATACGATGAAACCAAGACTGTCAAGCAGGACATTCTCCTCCCTGATGCTCCCGCAGCGCCACCGCCGAAGACCGAGGCCTTCGATATGTTTGCAGACGACGACGATGACATGTTCGCAGAGGAAGCGCCTGAACCCAAGCCGGCGCATGCTTCTGCCACAGCTGTACCCCAGGGCAAGGAACTGGATATCAGCATGATGGATAACTGGGACGATTCGGAAGGTTATTACGCCGTTCGCCTTGGAGAGCTGATCAACGGACGATACCATGTCCATCAAAACCTTGGCAAGGGGATGTTCTCGTCTGTCGTACGTGCAACTGACACCCAAACAGGGGGTCTGGTTGCCGTCAAGATAATTCGCCAGAACGCGATAATGCGCAAGGCCGGTATGAAGGAGATTGGCATCCTGGAGCAACTACAGGAAGCTGATCCGCAAAACAAAATGCACCTCATTAAGTTCGACCGATACTTCGAACACAAGGGTCACTTGTGCATGGTATTTGAGAACCTTAGCATGGACCTGCGTGAGGTCCTGAAAAAGTTCGGTAGGGACGTTGGCTTGAACCTGCGCGCTGTCCGGGCCTACGGCCAACAGATTTTCCTCGGGCTGTCTCACCTCCGCCGGTGTAACATCCTGCATGCAGATCTCAAACCGGATAATCTTCTTGTGAACGAGCAACGCAACATTCTGAAAGTTTGCGACCTGGGTTCGGCGTCGCCGGCTTCTGATAATGAGATTACGCCTTACCTCGTCAGTCGTTTCTACCGTGCCCCGGAAATCATCCTGGGTATCCCTTACGACTACGCCATCGATGTCTGGTCCATTGGCTGTACCCTCTTTGAGTTGTACACGGGCAAAATTCTCTTCACCGGCCGAAACAACAACCAGATGCTTCGCTCCATCATGGAGTGTCGGGGCAAGTACCCGCCGAAACTTCTTCGCCGCGGATCCCTGTCGCCTCATCACTTTGATGAAATGCTAAACTTCCATAGCGTGGAGGAAGACAAAATCACCGGCCGACTTCACACCAAAATTGTGGACTTCAAGAAACCGACACGCGACTTGAAGTCACGTCTCATGGCACAAGGAACTCGCGGGATGCCAGATGCTGAAGTCAAGGAACTGACGATGTTCCTGGACCTACTTGACCGGTGCTTGAGTCTTAACCCTGAGAAACGGATCACGCCGGCCGAGGCTTTGAAACACCCATTCCTGGCGCCTAGGGCGTAACTAAGTTGCCTAACGAAGGGGCTTTTACTGCATAGATTCCATCTTGATCTATTCGAGCTTGCCAGGATGCCCAATCCTGGTCCTGAGATGGCCTAATTCGGGTGGAAGGATCGGGGCTACTTGATCTATGGGGGGGTTTTTTTTCTTGTCAATATGCACACTGTGAGAGTAACTTAGCATCTAGCTTCTCAATGCAAGTCCATATGTAACATTTCCACAAAGGCACCAACCCCTGTTCATCCTCGGCTTTAGGACTCCTGCCAAAACTGGGAGTGGCTTGGAATTTGTCCAACCTTCCATTAGAGCGTGTACCGTACTTCCGGAAACCATTGTCACCACCTAAACTCGTTCATTTTTCCTCCACACTTGGCGCCAAGTCCTACGATACTGTATTAAGAGGAGCTCCCGGATATTAGTATCCCTGTGTTATCACTATACTGTATTTTATTTCGTGTAGCGATCATGTTTCGTTGCCATATGGGTAACGCTGAATAGCTAGAATGCTAGACACTAGCATCTCCTTGACAGTGCAAATTCCAAAAACCAATTTTGTTACGACAATATAACAAAGAGAATAGATTGGCGGTACTTGTAGGTGAAATCAATCATTCTTTAACTATAACAAGCCAGAGACGGTGAACTTTAGAAATATATTCAAACATATCTGTGAAGATATATAGTGGTAACTTACCACTAGCAACCTATTGGTCATACTTCTACCTATGTTCCCATACAAATTGTAACTATATAACTCTATGCTTAGCTGTGACCTCGGCGTTATAACCGCCGAGTGACGGAGTATAGACGGAGGGTATTTCAACAACGCCCCTATCTAGTCTTTACCAAAAATAATCATCAATTCTAACAATAGTCCTTTGATTGCATTCGATGCCCGCTTTGCTAGCGAATACCATATTAACTTGATTTGACAAGATCTAAAGGTACCAATATCTCAACAAAACCGCTGCAAGCCCGAACAAAAGAGTACAGCATATTGTTATTGGGCCGAAAATAGCCCTCGAAACCAGAGCTGTCTTTTTGGGTGTCGGGCAAGACACGGAATCATTTGATGGCTCCACCTTAGTTCTATGGGCGTTTGACACAGAAAGCTCGGGTACAAGATTGGTCAAGAAATAGCTCAATTGCTCCGATGTTGAGCTAGTGAGCTGAGACTTATTACCAGGCATATGTGGTACTTCAAAGGTCTTGTGCTTTTGATTTGGGTGCAATCGACTGTGGCAGGGGTACTTCTGTGCGCATGACAAGCAAAGATCCATATGGGCACAGATTCTGCATACGAAGCGAGATCCGGTGATAGCCCGTTCACAAAAGTCACAGATAATCTCGTGTATATCGGCGTAGAAAAAAGTCCCCTGAGACGGATATAGCTGAAATAGATATCGAGCATTGTCCGTGTCATCAAGAAACAAGCAGTAGCGACCTAATTGTTCCAGAAGAGGCCATGGAGAGTCCAGCTTAAAACGAAGAAGCGTATCCGAGATTTGAAGGATTGATTGGCGAACAGTCAATTTTTGAGTCTCATCAGGGGTCACGACAATTGAAGGCCAGTGGCTTTGTATTTGGTGCATCAGGCCTTCGTTTCCTACTACCCAGTCCAGGATATTTCTACCGTAACCATCCAGAAGAGAAGGATTGGCACCAAGGTGGAGGAGCTTTATAGCAAATTTGACGCGGCCTAGACAGAGAGCCAGATGAAGCGGGGTTTGCAAGAACATATCCTTATTGTTGATAGCGGAGGCGAGCAGCGGGAATCGATTTACGAGGTTGAGCATATCTTTCGCGGCCGCAATATGAAGAGGAGTCTGGTCGAGTTCATCTGCAAGCAAGGGATCTGCGCCAGCGTGAAGAAGCATCTGAACTCGATCGGCACGGCCTTTGTAAACAGCCGCCAAGAGTGGTGATCCATATCGACCACTCCGAGCATTGACATCGGCGCCAGCGTCGAGCAGCATCTGCACAATCTCAGTGCGTATGAAGTATGCAGCGGCAGCGGCCTGCAGGGCATTGCCGTATTCACCACCCTGAGCATTGACATCGGCGCCAGCGTCGAGCAGCTTCTGCACTATCTCGGTATGTCCACTAGATGCAGCGGCCTGTAGGGCATTGCCGTATTTACCACCCTGAGCATTGACATCGGCGCCAGCGTCGAGTAGCATCTGCACAATCTCAGTGCGTCTGAAGTATGTAGCGGCAGCGGCCTGTAGGGCATTGCCGTATCCACCACCCTGAGCATTGACATCGGCGCCAGCGTCGAGCAGCTTCTGCACTATCTCGGTGTGTCCACTAGGTGCAGCGGCCTGCAGAGCATTGCCGTATTTACCACCCTGAGCATTGACATCGGCGCCAGCGTCGAGCAGCTTCTGCACTATCTCGGTGTGTCTACTAGATGCAGCGGCCTGTAGGGCATTGCCGTATTTACCACCCTGAGCATTGACATCGGCCCTAGCATCGAGCAGCTTCTGCACTATCTCGGTGTTTCCACTGGATGCAGCGGCCTGTAGGGCATTGCCGTATTCACCACCCTGAGCATTGACATCGGCGCCAGCGTCGAGCAGCTTCTGCACTATCTCGGTATGTCCACTAGATGCAGCGGCCTGTAGGGCATTGCCGTATTCACCACTCCGAGCATTGACATCGGCGCCAGCGTCGAGCAGCATCTGCACAATCTCAGTGCGTCTGAAGTATGTAGCGGCAGCGGCCTGCAGAGCATTGCCGTATTTACCACCCTGAGCATTAACATCGGCCCTAGCATCGAGCAGCTTCTGTACTATCTCGGTTTTTCCACTGGATGCAGCGGCCTGTAGGGCATTGCCGTATTCACCACCCTGAGCATTGACATCGGCGCCAGCGTCGAGCAGCTTCTGCACTATCTCGGTATGTCCACTAGATGCAGCGGCCTGTAGGGCATTGCCGTATTCACCACTCCGAGCATTGACATCGGCGCCAGCGTCGAGCAGCATCTGCACAATCTCAGTGCGTCTGAAGTATGTAGCGGCAGCGGCCTGCAGAGCATTGCCGTATTTACCACCCTGAGCATTAACATCGGCCCTAGCATCGAGCAGCTTCTGTACTATCTCGGTTTTTCCACTGGATGCAGCGGCCTGTAGGGCATTGCCGTATTTACCACCCTGAGCATTGACATCGGCCCTAGCATCGAGCAGCTTCTGCACTATCTCGGTGCGTCCGAAGTATGTAGCGGCAGCGGCCTGCAGGGCATTGCCGTATTCACCACCCTGAGCATTAACATCGGCGCCAGTATCGAGTAGCTTCTGCACTATCTCGGTTTTTCCACTGGATGCAGCGGCCTGTAGGGCATTGCCGTATTCACCACCCTGAGCATTGACATCGGCGCCAGTATCGAGTAGCTTCTGCACTATCTCGGTTTTTCCACTGGATGCAGCGGCCTGTAGGGCATTGCCGTATTTACCACCCTGAGCATTGACATCGGCGCCAGCGTCGAGCAAAAGTTCAACAATGCCCTGATGGCCTCGCAACGAAGCTGCTTGTAAAGCACTTTCACTTCCATCCCTTGTTGTTTCAAGCTTCACACCCTTATGCAGGAGCCATTCGACGAATCCCACCTGCCCAAAGCTAGCCGCCTCGATCAACGGCGTTGTTCCATTTTCGTATTTTGCCTCAGAATCTGCTCCTTTCGCCCGCAGTATTTCGCCCGCTGGTATATGACCGTGTCGCGCTGCTAAGTGGAAAGCTGTCTTTCCCTTTCCGTCTTTCCTCATGACGTCTTCACCGTTAAACACCAGACATTCGATGATATCGACGAGATTGGCGGCTGCTGCCATATGTATGATCGTCGTATCTTTCGGTGGACGCGCCGTGTTATATGGATTCAAGATCTGGTAAATCTGGACCCACCGACTAACTACTCGCTGTAGGATATCTCGTTCATTCTGTAGCACGTCCGCTCTAGAGGCGGCAGCTTTTTCCGCATGAATAAAGAGGTTTTTAGTGGAGTAGGTAAGCAGCGGGCGATCCTGGGCGATGTTCTTTCTCGTGCTCTGGTGATGATTCAAGATTTCTCGAGGAAGGTGTATTGTGGCTAGATAAACCAGACATGATCGGTAGAGAGTTGCGTGGCATTGAAATAGGACCTTGTCGTTATCGACAGGCATCATTTTGGCATCGATATGGTGACACAAAAGCCCTAATCCTTTTACACGCAAGAAATCATTCACCGACTGGTGTACTACCTGCACACTCTCGTCATTATCTCCGCTTGAGACTACTTCGGCTAGTCCACCAGAAAGAGCCTTGATTCTTCGCTTCATACGTTCGTTGCTTTCGACAAAATCGTCTATCTTCTCCCATGTCTTTGGGGAAGGAGTTATTTGGGCATTCTTAGCCGCCAAGGCATACCGCATTTCTGTAACAGTGAGTGGTCGTTCGGCCAGGCACACCCATTGAAAGAATAGGAACGACTGTTCCCGATTTTTCGCCTCGATCACGTTGTTCAGTATATATGTATACACGTCTTTCAGTTCGGCTGGGACCTCGCGTAACCAGCAACGGATGTCGTCAAACGATTCCCCTTCAAAAATCTTCTGCCTAATAAGAGGTATTATGAGACGGGCCCATTGAAAAACACCCTTGGCTTGCTGGATTAGCTGTTCCACTAACACCCCCCTCGCTTTATCACTAGGACTGTCTCCGAGCTCCATGTCAGCAAGGTTGTCCTTAATATACATGGTGATGTCTTTATGATTATGGTCCTCGACATAAATTGCCACAGCCCGAGCACTTTCCACGATAGGATAGTGTCGACATGAGATACAAATTTGAACGGCCGCATTCGCTTTTTCTGCGCGACTGATAAGCCGATGGAAATATGCCGCTAGCTGTTGAGCGGACTCAGTCCCAGCCTCATCTAGAGCATCGACAAAAACTGTCACGTGTTGCCGACTGGCGGATTTAAGGATGATACCTGCCAGTAACTCTTCTAGCACCACTCGTGGCCATTCCCACTTGCCTTCACCATACCCAAACTGCTTACATCGTTGTTTATAGATATCGCGCACCTGAGGGCGTATGGTCGCGTCGCAGACAAAAATCTGGTTTAGCAACGACCTGAGCATCCCGAGCGGTGTGCGTTGCAGCTCCGTGCCCCGAGCGGTAAAGAAGAAGTCGAGCCGAATACCCTGACGGTCGTCTTGTGATATCCTAAGTCTGTCGTGTAGGAATACCATCAACGTCGATTTGCCCGCACCCGGCTTGCCCTTAATCCACAGTAGACCGCGGGACTGGCTCCTCCAAGACTGGTACTTTTCTAAGTCCAGAATCCATTGGCAGGTATTGGTATGACATGGCTCAATATCGTCTCTCCGATCTAGCATCTGCGGGTATGCCAGTGACCTAAGCACTTCTACCACAATGGTTAGTGATAGTAGTCTCTTTGACTGATACGAGGCGATGCAAACCGTTGTCTACCCTCTGCTGTGTGTTTTCCGGTCGGTCTGGGCCGAAAAAGTGGCTTTTAGTCAACTTGACCCGGCTTGAAAAATGCTTTATAAAACGTACCAGGTAAGAGATGGATCGATCCGTGATTGATCCCCAACTGAACCCCCGCATTTGCATTACCAAATGACATTGAATCCATACTCAATAGACGGTGTATACAATGATAGTGTTATTAAAAAAGCCAAAGTCCTGGCCCGTAGAAAACGAAAGGCCGACCTCAGCCTCACGATCAGGTGACTATCGACCGCTGATCCTTGGCACAGATTATGGACTTGTTTCTCCCCCAGGTACCCCGTGGACGTCTAGCGAACACAAGGAGTCTTACGGGCTTATAGCGACAAATTCTATCAAAGGAGAGGCTACTGTGGTACAATCCGCAGAGCCCACAGCCCACTTCGTAATAATGGTGGGGTACTGAGGTTTCAGCACTGTCCAGCTCTGACAGGTAATAAACATAGGCTAGTATAATAAAATAATCCGGTATTTTTACGGTACGATCCGCAGACTAGTGATATTAGTAGATTTTTGCTAAAATGGTTTAGTGTGCCTTAGCACCGGGAAGAGAGAGTGTAGGTGGTGACACCGATTTCCGGAAGTACTGTAAACATACCTCTGTGTAGCCAACAAAGAAACCCCTACAGAGGTGCACAGTGCATCACCCCGTACGTAGTCTGACACTGAAGGCCAGCTCCTACCAAAACAAACAAGCCCCCACCCAATTACAACACCTAGCACATCGGTAGCGCGCGATAACCCGATCCTGAATCTAATTCATCACTATCACAAAGAAACATCCCAGCACAAAATACAAGCCCCCCTTCCGGCCCTTAGCCCCCTATCGACCCAAGCCCCTGGCAAGATGGATCTGGAACTAATCAAACTGCCTACAACTCCACTTTATCTTCTATTGCACGATATCGTATGACCCCCATATTCAAAAACAGAGACCCATAAACCTTCAAGCCTGGCCCCAGTCCAAACACGGCAACACCTAACTCAAAATCGCTAGGACCCGACCTTAGGAGTTCTAGATCGCCTCTCAGCCAAACTCAGTATTATTTCAGCCTGCATCTGCGGTTCAGTCTTACATAGCCGGAACCTTGGGGCTTTTCTGGGCTTGGTTATCATTTTTTGGGTTGTGGGGAAGTCTATCTTACCTCGACCACGGGAGTACGGAGTATGTTGTAGAGTGATGACAGATATGGTAGATACTAGAATATCTGATTGGCACGATACTTACACTTTTTCTGCAATCCATTTTATAACTATGGAATATGGAGTACGGAGTACATGACACTAGAGACACTAGACTAGACTATTGCCTCTTTTCTCGGGTCTGTTATCCTAGGGCGGCAGAGGCGGAATTTTCGAATTACGCTCGTGTTTCCCAGTGGCTGTAGGTGGCCATTGAATAGAAGACGTGTCGTCTCGGTGATTGCAGGCAAATGGTAGATGGTGAGGCTGGCTTTTTTGGGCTTGGATAGATGCCGATAGATGCCGATAGACGCCGATAGGGCCTTTTCTTTTTTTTGTTCCTTTTGAATTTGCTTTTGGCCTGCCTAATTACTTGGAACTAGGAGATAATGTTTCTGTAGTGTTGGTCATGGTTGGATTCTAAAAAAGCAATGAGGATGGATATCTGTTCCGTGCTGATTTGATAGTTGTTGCATGGCGTTTAGTTTTACTTGCAGGCCCACGTACTCGATATACGATGTGCATCATAGTCATCATATCAATTGTCATTCACTTTCTTAACTACACTCCTAAACCATGATAACATACAACGTACAATTACGTGGTCTATCGGATCGAGTGGAAGTGGAGTATTCCAGAAGGCGGAGGGCGATCAACGGAAGAAGAGCCCCTTGCCACCTGGGTACGAAAAATCCACATCCAATCGCCGAACGAGTCCAAATTAGGTATTTCCTACAAATTCTAAGACCAGAATGCCCCGTGGCAAAAGAATCCGACCACAAAATAGGAAGGGCGTTTAATCTCCGATCCCCTTTGGTCAGGTTTGTTGATCTATTGGTCTATTGATCAGAACTAGACATGGATGTTGGCGCCATGTTGAGAACAAGTAATCGTGATGTCGAGAGGTGTTTATATTGTGGGTCCCGCCACCTGCAGGGCACCGAGCCATCTACATTAGGGTGTCGGGCGTTCAGAAGATAAACAATTGGAAGGCAAAAGAGACAATAGTAAAGGGTTGTAAAGGGAGATGTATTCATTGGACACGGGATATGGATGATCCTGGCGGTCGCTAAATGTCAGACTCGCGTTGTAGATAGAGTAGTCTGTTTCCAATAAGTTTCAAGAGACATGCTATACGGAGTACTCTGTACAACATATAATATTCCTCGCCCACATAGTACTATGGAGCATACGGAGTACGGAGTAGTTAGTGATATATCTGAGATCACCTCTAGCGGTGTGTAGACCCCGAAACTAAAAGCCGAAGCCAAAAGTGCTACGACACATTGAACACAACATCTGCCGGTCGCAGAATCTGAAAAAAGGGAAGAGGGAAAAAAAAAAAGCAACGGCCCGGTTTCCGAGTGAGAAATGAGAAAAAAAAACTTGTTGACCTTTGGACGAGCCAGCTGCATTGCCAATCCTGGGGTACATTAATCGTTATGTCCGGAGGTAGGCAAGGCACCGGTACACAAAGGGGAACGGGCGTCTATCACATATGGCACATATCATATCACACGAGTTAGCATATTCTACATCGATGTGCACCTTGTACCACATACAGATTACGGAGTACATTAGTTGTACATGGGGCTAGTTGCTATGGTACAGCTACCTCTGCATGGACAGGTTTCGGGTCCTGAGAACCGACAACGGATGTGATGAATCGTAACCCTGATCTCTATCAGGTGATTGGACTGGCCGCGGGCTTACGTCGATCTAGGGAGCTTTAGGGGGTAGAATATTGATTTTGGTGGATGTCTGTCTTGCTCACCGCAATATAGAGTACCCATTCGAGTGAGTTGTGATTACTCCATACCAGAGAACTGGTACACTTTCCCTTGGCTATACTACAACATATAGTTTTTTTTTTGCCCGGGATGATTTGGGGGCGAGAATACAGTTTGAATAAGTCAGACTCGGATCAGTGGCCCTTGCCTGTGTATGACGCAAGTGGTGAGATACAGACAAAGGAAAAGTAGTGAAATTGAAGACTCTGAGGCAACTTTATGTTTACAGGGGCCATTCTTGCCTCCGGGCTGTACAGAGGACGAAGCACGGAGTGTCCACCTTGACAACATACGGAGTACCCAAATGTACGTATGTTTGACGGGTGAAAAACAAAGGGTAGCCCAGCCACCAACAGAAGGACCAAGGTCTAAAAGGAGAAACGGACAACAGGAATCAGAAGTCCACAGCAACGCCAATAATAATACGAGTTTCTTCCCATTGTGTCCCAGATGGTCAAGGTACATTAGCGCCAGGAGAAGAAAGATGAAGTGTATGGCCCGTGCAGAACTAGTCAGCAGGGAAGCGCCAACCCCCCACTCAGCTGCTTTTAGGGGAGTTTCTCGAAAAACGAACAGTTCAAGCAAATGGTTGGCCATTGCGCCCCTCCATCATCGCCTCACTCTTGCACTTTATTTAGCGTCTTGTCTAGACCCGAGTCAGCCTAGAACGGGGTGAGGAGGGGGGCCAGGTGGGGTTTAGTATAGATTTAGGTGTCTGTGCAAAGGACGGTGTAGAAAAGTCAGAGAATCAGAGAGTTAAAGTATGATTCTTAAAAATCATATCAAAATTTGGATAGTCATAGTCATGATACCTAATAAAATGATCATCACGTAAAAAAATATAAAAAAAGTCAGGACAGATACGCTGCATTCAAACATCTGCATTCAAATATCCCGATCCATGGTATACTTAGTAATATGGGCAACCAGATCTGACTCAAGATGCCATAGCTTTGCGGGGCTGGGGGCAATGAGCTTATTGGTAGACTGTGAGTGGCGGGTGTGTTGGCAAATGTGTGTCAGGAGGTTTCAAGGCAGAAACACCGTTGGGAAGAACAGGGGTTGGGATACGTGGACAGAAAGGCATTGCCACACTAGGCCTAGAACGGAAGACCCTCTGGCCCAGTGGACAATTGTGGGAACCTGGAAATTGTGTGGGAAAAAAATAGGAGACTGCAGATTCCAAGGTTCTAGTCGATCGTTATGACTTATGGTCCAATCATCAGTTGTGGCGGCTGCAGGAAAGACCGACCGAGTCATAATGATTGGTCTAACCACACTCGGGCATGCACACTACACACCGCTTCGTACTCCCGTACACATGGCCTATTATTATTTACTTTTTTAAAAAATAATTTAATTTGGTGCCACTCTATGTACGCATCATAGATTCTTTTGGGAATTTTTTTTATTTTTCCCATCTTTTCTTTTTTAAATTCCATTCGATCCTTTCCCCATTTGGGATTTAATGTAATTTCCTTTTTGACTAGTGCGCTTTCCCTCTTGTTTTATTATTGTCTCTCGAACCACGAGGCGGCCATCTGCCTGATATCTCTTCTATAATACTTCTTCCTTCTCTCTCGACTTCGCGAGTTTGTATATTTCAACTCTTACTTATATATTTACTACTCCTCTTTTATTTGTTTTATTTTGTTTTATTTTCTTTTTGGTTGTTCTTGCTTCTGGTTCCTTGTGCAACAACTCTCCTTCTCGACTTCTATCAAACGCAACCGAACCGGACCAAACGGACCTAGATCGGACCATCTTGAAACCCTCATTGGATTGGAATGGATGCCTTTTGAATATCCGTGGATTTAGGCTTCTCTTATAATCTCCCTGGATCAGACTACCTTTGCGCGCTCTCTCTCTATCACTCTCTTTCCTCGTCTCATCCGGGAGAGGACTATTGGATCCCCTCGTACACAACCCCCCCAAGGACATTGTATCCGGCCATGCTACCAACACCGCCACCATCGCCGGCTCCCCGCCGCTATGCTCCCGAGGATCGCTTAGGACTCGTATTAGCCAACCGGCTGGAACTCACCAGAGTCTTGGGCGTCGGAGCCTACGGCGTTGTTTACACCGCTGTGGACATTCACACCAACGAAGTCTATGCCGTCAAGGTCCTTTGCAAGGACGGTCTAGATGCCCGTCAACTCAAGTTCCAGCAGCGCGAGATTAGACTCCATCATATGGCCAGCCAACACCCCAACGTGGTTCCCTTAGTCCGCATCATGGATTCCGTGGATTGTACCTACGTCGTTATGGAGTATTGCCCGGAAGGAGACCTGTTCTCTAACATTACCGATAAGGGAAACTTCGTCGGTAATGACTTCTTGGCCAAGAGTGTGTTCCTCCAAATCCTGGATGCCGTACAATTTTGCCATTCTCTCGGGATCTACCACCGGGATCTCAAACCCGAGAATGTCCTCGTGACCGAAAATGGAATGACTGTCAAACTTGCCGACTTTGGCCTGGCGACGACAGATTATTATACGACGGACTTTGGATGCGGTTCCACGTTCTACATGTCACCTGGTAAGCGCACCCACCCACACCCTCTTTATGTTTTTGGATATGTGGCTAACTTGACGCGTTTATAGAATGTCAACAATCCAACGCCCGACCCTTGTCCTGCTACATGTCCGCTGCCAACGACGTCTGGAGTCTGGGCGTGATTCTTGTTAACTTAACCTGCGGTCGCAATCCATGGAAACGTGCATCGGTCGAGGATTCCACATTCCAGGCCTACCTAAAGGACCCATTCTTCTTGAAGACTATTTTGCCTCTCTCTTCCGAGATGGTGAGTATATTGAGTCGCGTCTTTGAGCTTGACCCAATTAAGCGGATCTCCATCCCAGAGCTGCGCCAGCTCATTCTGGAGTGCCCTCGCTTCACCGAGAATCCTATGGTCCAAACCCCCTGGGTGCCCGAACAGATCGACTACATTCCCCAACCCCAGATGCCAATGTTCATGGGCCCCATGGAACCCCTGTATGCCCAGACATCTGGCTCATCCTTGGACTCCGCGCAGTACTCGGCCTTCTCCCAATCAGCTGCTTCCGACGGTTCAGCCATCACCGAGGATTACTCGGATTTCGATACCATGTCGCCAGCAGTTTCGGAGCAGGTCCCCGATTGCAAGGTGGTCTTCCCTTCCGTCTGCGCGGAGCCCTTCTTTCCCGCGGATCCCTTTGCTTATGGCCTCATTCACCCCAACCTACAGGGCCTCGAGATCCCCGTCTAATTACTCATTGCCTCGCAGCTGCATGATTTGACGCTCTTCTCTTTACATGACCATTCCTTGATCGAATGCTCCCCGATATCTCCGCAGATTTCAGGTCCCCTTAACACTCTTCTCTCTTACCTCCGCCATCGAGCGGACTCCAAAAGCTGCCGAACAAACAAAAAAGTTGATCGCGTTGATCATGATCCACTGGACTCGGCCACCAGCTTTCTTTTCCCTTTGGACATATTTCTTTACACCTTTTTTTTTTACCCTGGACCACGGAACTTCCCTGGCCGAACGACCTTGCATGGACCGTTTGACCACAGTCCTTTGTCTCGCGACCGGGTCTCCTTATTGTTTTAATATTTCCGCACATACCTGGAGGGGATTTTTGTTTTTTACGTTTCCATTTTCTGGCGTGATAATACACTGGGAAGCATGATTTGAAGATACGCCCCTGGAAGGGCTGATGAAACACGGGGTCTTGTTTATTTTTCTCTTTTATTTTTTGGATTGGTGTATTTGGATATTTCAACCCGGCGTTGACACTTCCTGTTCGATTTTTGGATTCTCTGTTTATCTTTTGGGAAAGGCTTTTTGTTATTTTGACGACCTAAGGGTGATCATTTCTACTCATGTGCATAGACTTTCGCATTGGCGGGACATTTCGGGACATCGTGTTCCCTTTCATTGATTCTTACGATATGATACCTCGGTGTGGCATAAGGAAAATACTTCACAATCTACACCATTGCATTCTACTACTCATTCTACCTCCAATCTCACCTAAGAACGTTGTAAAATTAACCGTGTTCAAAAGACGCCCCCAACCGCTTCCTAGTATCCTGTCGTGCAACGTTGTGCCGTCCCACAACGGCCGAGACTCGATTGGGCATTATGAGGGGATGATGTTTCGTGTTTCGTCGTGTGATGCGCCCGCGCCACCGTGAAACCGCTGGCTGCCCAAGTGGCACGCAAGACGGGACAGATCCATTCCGAGTTGACGGTAGATGGGCCTCTGATGAGTTGAATCAGGTTTTACAGTATCAACCCTGTGCATTTCGTGGTTAATTGACCTCATATATGCAGTGGGGGACATAGTACATCCCAACATCTTGACGATGATATATATATATATATATATATATATACAACATATGGACTCTTTCAATAGAGCAGATATAAGTGTTCAATAAATTCATTTTGCATCCATACATCCAGCTCTAAATCCGGGTATATATGTACCTATATACACCAGATTTTGTCCGGGTGGGACTTTCCTGTCTGGGCTGCCGCTGCTTTAATGACGGCCATCAGGCTCAGGCTCACTGAGTAGATGTCAGCACGGGCTCATGCTCGGTGATCTAGTCAGTATAGTCATGTGATCAGTCAATGACCAATCAGATGCTGCTTACTCACCAGCACTCATTGTCCACCTGGGCAGTCAGCAAGCCGTACTCCTTTCCTTCCAGCCCTTCCAGCCCATGTCAGACTATACAGAGACATGGCAATGTCCATAGGACTCGAGTACCAGAACAGATCACCATCTACTGTAAATCCTGAAACCTTTCATAATTATTCGCCGGCAAATTCATGTATCTGTAACTTTGTACTAATATTGCGGTCGCAGAACGATACTGCCTCCGCCAAGACATATATTGCTGATAGAATATATCTTACACTTTAAAGAAAATGTAGTATCTTATATAGCGCTCTACTGGAAGATAACGATGCCACTGCGACTCGGTACTGATGGCTTCAATACCGCGCTCAGTGAAGGACTTGAAAAAAGGACATCATGACTTTGATCCAAACTCCTCGAATTCGATAATGTCCTTCACTGGTGTTGTCGTCGCCGAAAGCTGCAGACTTGCCTTCTATTCTTTGGCATTTTCATTCTTGAGGGGAATATTCGCGTGGGATATTGAAGGCTCATGTCCATTGACTGTTACCATGTCTTGATTCTTACGCAACGTCGAAGCGTCAGGTTCTCTTCATTCTCCTGCTGCAGAAGCTCTAGTAGGTGCTTGTGTAATAAGATGTATAGACAGTTTCGCCCGAGTTGAAGAAAAAGGATGGATGTACTGGTTTAGAAATTCGAGGATGTCTTTCTTCGTAAGTGATTCAATGTTTTCGACGTCGCGATAGACTGGTGGGATTTGGTCGATCGAGTTAGTCAATGTACAGGGACGTAAAGTAAGAGTGCAGGTTACGTAAATTGGAAGGACTTGGAAAGTAGCGAACGTACTTTGCTCAAAGTCAAACATCTCACTCGTAATATGAGTCTAAAAGCGCGACGTTTTTTGACCCAAATTCTTCAATTTCTCCAAGCGTTGGTTGATCAATCCGATCTTATGCTCCTCGAACGTCTCGTCGGCTGTCGCACGCAAGACCTGCTCAAGCTTCATCAAGAATGTATCATAGCGCTCTTCGAGGTACTTACAATCCCTCTCGCTCTGTAGGAGGATGTCCTATGTGCCGGTCGTTATATAGATGCCTGTAGCCGAGTTGACGATTTATCCGAGCTACTCCTTTATACGTAGCGTGTTAAAGTACAGCTCTTCGGCAATATGGCAAAGCAGTAGTAGCTTGGCTCGTTGCGAACGATCCGTGACGGAGCTAACTAAGATAAAGTACTCGAGATTTCCGAGATGGATTCAACAGAGCCGGAAGGAAGCGCTTCCCCCATGATTCCCCCCCCCGTCTTTGTAGCGTATGTCTTCTGTGATACCTCTCTTGTGACCTGGTGCAGTAGCGAGTCAAATGCGTTGCGACTAAAAACTGTAATTACTACAGACGTGCGTATCAAATCTTGAGTACAACACCAAGCCACCAATACCCCGCTATGCATCCCATAGAGAACGGCACATGGCACGGCACGGTAAGACGGCGTGAGGTCAAGTTCTCCGCTGTAAGCAAGTAATGTCGAATGGGATGACCTGGTGCAGGGCTTCCGGGTTTAGGTGCTTTTTGGCGAGAGGGGTTCCAAGACTGCTATCATGCAGGTCCTTTGGCCATGTCGGCCAAGTGTTGGCTCCGTACCCGATAACCGAAACAAGCATCTGACGCGAATCTTTGATGGGAGTTGCTGGATCTGGGGAGTGAGTAGGTGGATCCCCTCCAAACCAGAAAGCATCAGGCCCGAGGCTTAAGTACAGGTGGGACGCTTCCAGTCGCTGTGGCTAGCTGCCTGCTGAACAAACCCGCGGTTAGGATCTATTATTTTCATCAGAATCAATCCCCCTTTCTCACGACATGCTTGCCGTGGTCGGTTTCGCTCTTCTCGTATCATGGATCATTGCATCAATCCATCGCAACCACAGTTCCAGCTTAAAAGACATCCCCAATGCTCATTTCTCCGCTCCATATACACGCCTGTGGTTGTTGTCGCTCCGATGGCGAAACATGGAGCATCGTAGCCGAATTCACCTCCATCGTCGCCTCGGTCCAGTCATTCGAATTGGGCCCCGTGATGTGAGTGTGAATTGCATCGATGACGGGGTTCGTACAATCTATAGCAGCAAGTTCGACAAAGATGCGTCCTTCTACCATGAATTGTTCGATCAGTAAGTTTCCGGAAGCATTCGCAACTTCCGAATCTAATGGCACAAGTCGATGTCTAACCGAGTACAGGACCGGGTTTATGGTCACCATGACAGGTAACGAGGAGCACAGGGAGCGTAAACGTATGCTTACCCGCCCTTATTCCAATTCGTACATTCTCAACTCTCAGATCCTCGACAGTGTCCTCTCTCGCGTAGCGTGTCGCCTTAGAGAAGAAATAGCAGGGTGGGCAAGCAAGGGTACCTCGGTCGATGTCTACCAGCAGGCTAAATGCTGCACCCTTGACGTTGCTTCTGGCTGGCTCTTTGGTAGCGAGAATGCGACTGATACTCTACGAGACCCAGGCTTCGAGAACGACCTCACAACGTTGGCCTCAGCTGCTTCCAAGATATTTTGCGTGCGAACCAGCCTCGACTGGCCGATGACCTATTTTGCAAGCTGGATTGGCAACAAGCTGCCCGATCCCGAGATCACTGGTCGATGGCAAGCGTGGCTCACACGAGTGATCACAGATTCCTACAGGAGGCACTCCACTAAGTCTTCTTCTATCCTGAGCCTGTACGACCATTTTTACGATTCTTTCAAAGCCGCCAATCCCGACATGTCGCGCAACGAAATGGCTTCTTTCATCGCTGTGGAGTGCGACGACCATCTTTCGGCAAGCCACCTCGGTTTAGGAACTTTATTGTCATATACCATGTACGAGCTATCACGAGATCCGGACTGCCAGCGAGCACTCCGGAAAGAACTCCTCACTCTGGCCGAACCTAGCGATCGAAGCTTGGTCCATCGCCTTGCAGATTTACCGGTACTTGACGCCGTCGTTACCGAGACCATGCGAACCCGTGCACCCTGTCCTGGTCCCTTTCCTCGTGTCGTGCCGGACTCTGGCTGCCGGCTCGCGGGGAAGTTTGATGTCCCCGGCGGCACTATCGTCAGCTCCTCTGCCTGGGCGCTCCACTTCAATCCCGTCCCCTTTCCGTCTCCGGAAGAATGGCGACCGGGGAGGTGGCTTGAAGCAGACGAGAACACGGTCGCGGAGATGCGGAAGTGGATTTGGACATTTGGAAGCGGCGCGCGGGTGTGCATTGGCACACATTACTCCATGCGTGGTAGGTCCCATCCCTTCACCATTCCGTGATGTTCGTTTCATCGAATAACGTGCTGACGATGCAACTCACAACCAGTCATCAAAGAGCTTCTTGCCACCGTCTATACGAATTACCAGACTTCCCTGGATGATGAATTCACAGGAAACGTGGAACAGCAGGACGCCTTCTCGGCGGGGCCTCTTGCGGGTTGTTTGAAGCTGAGATTTCGACGGCCTATAGCCCGACCTCTATTGAAACAGCCGTAGCACTGCCGTGCGGCTCATGGCATACAGACCGCGACGTTGGAAAAGAGTAATTTGCAAAGTCAACCAATGACGATTCACCCAATAAAAGACAGGCAAAATGGGTAGATTCCTTTAAGTAATATCCCCTTAGACGGAATGCTGATTTTTAGCTTTGTATCTATTCGAACGAGAGTGTATTCGTTGTCTGTCTACCTACGTCCTCCACAAACCGATGGCGAGTCGACGAGTCCCCCGTTAGTACATGTGTAATTGAATCCCTCAAAGATCTTCAAAAGTTCCAACGTCTTCTTCCGAACGCAGACGCGCCTGTTTTCGTTCAGCGAAGTCTCGTAGGTCAACCAACTTGAGCCGGTTATTCTGGCGAAGGTGTAGCACGTATGATTACATACATAGATCCACATATGGAGGAGCTTCTTATCACAAGTGATGGATCCTAAACAGATAAGAGCTCTGACACATTGCGCCTCTCAGACCTGCGAAGGCAAGCTACTCGTATCGTGGGATCGATGGTTCCGGGATGTTCGATTCCATCGATGAGCACACTGGTGTGCGTACGCACTCCTTTTCGCATCATCTTCTGACCACGGCCATGGGTCTGTATAAAGGTATTGATACTGTTGTGGATCCTTGGTTTGAGGATCCTCCGTCGGAGGACCGCCGGACTCCCCTCCGGGCCTAAGTGAACCACAGGTCAACAAAGGGTCGCTGCACAGTCGGTTCAGCCTGACTGCCCTATGTATGAGGCTATAAAAGTTTCCCCCTTGGCCGTTTCGGGTCCGAGAGGGGGTATCCCATTTCAGTCAAAATTGACTCGTTATCCCGGGGTTAGGTCGGAGATAGGGAGCACGGCCTAGTTCTAACAGCAATAACTATGTAGATCTAGACTAGTATGCTGTCACATTTATGCCCAGAGAAAAATGGAACGTCGTTTCCAATAACATACCATCCCTCGCACGTAAAATAACAACCGTAATAAACCCAAGTCATAGCCGATTAGGGTGGCTTTTGTAAAGAGATGAAATGTTGTCGTAGCGTTGGTAAAAAGCCTTTCGTGTACGCTTTCGCGTAAATGAAAACCTGCTATCTAGACTAAACTGATGTACGACGCTGATACAGTCAACTACTACTCTAGAGAGCGGCCTTTCTCGTCAGCGACCCATTCTTGTCCATTGATAAAGTCTATCGAGAATGGCAGCACTCCATTCTCATAGGCCGTTCAACGGGTATTTTCGAGAAAGGGGCGACCTCTAATTCGTTTTATCCGACTTTAAACGGGCTAGTAACTAGGGAAAGGTGATTCAGGTTGTGTGCACATATGATTAATTGTCCTCTACCAAGAAAAATCAAGGAGAGCTAGTATACGTATATAGCAAAGGGATGACAAATGGGTCGGTCATGCCTTAAGGCCAGGCCAACAACTTCCTTCAACAGTAACGAGTTTGATGACATGGCTCTCAGTGTTGCTCCTCCACATTCGCAATATTGGACCTCGCGGAATTGAATTGGGCCCTGAGCAAATTGAGCTTCAAAGGCTCGTCTTCAGTCTTGGACTCGGCGTCGGCAGCAAGATCGGCGTTGGCATCACAAGCGGCAGAAATCTCCGGTTTAAACAGGTTTTGGACTTCGTGCATCGCCTGCCATGGCTGAGATCTCTCTTCAGTTGCGGTCGTGTTGGCAGATTGAGACTGGAACCCAGTTAGGTATGTCCAGTATCATTGAAAGTTTCCAAGGTTCTCCTACCATGTCTGAGGAGTTCGGGTTTGTAAATTGTGAGTGGATAATGTAAGAAGTTGTCTTGTCTGAGATTGATATCCTTGAATGATGGATATGGTCGGGGGTTTTTATATAGGACTTGAAGCTGCTGTATTCCAGTTGAATGCATTGGAAACTTGATATCCTCGGCCATACTCATTTGCCAGTCGTGCATAAAACCCATGGAGCACGCGAGTATGCGTGAGGTGACGTGGACGATGGCTCCGAATGCGGGCGCAGTGATATGTACCCATGCTGATAGCTGGGAGGTGGTAAATCCATACGTCCCCTCTCGTATCTCGACCCCGTCCGAGCACTTGACCCCCCAATATTCGTCCCTTGAAGTGATTGGTTCGCTTCTTTGTACCTTGTCGGATGTTTTGCATTCGCTCTCATTTTCAGCCGTGTCCGTGAGCCCATTCCGCTTTCTCACATGGTGGGCCTCGCATAAATACCTTATCACATTGCGGACTGCCTGAACCATTCAAACCCCTGGCAGGATGTGCACACGCTTCTTGATATCATGCACATATGAGGTAGCAGCATGAGGTGACATTTCAAATGAGAGGCATCAATAAGCCCGTACATTCATGCCGCGCGGCATGTTGGTGCTGTTCATATTATCTTGGATCACCAGGGATCTTGATGCTTGATGGCAATCAAGCACTCAGCTACCCACAAATAAGCACGCTAAGACAAAACACCTTCTCAGCACATGTTTTGCAACCGCCCCCCCCCCTCCCCCAGTACTATTTTGCGACAATGTTATCATTTAGACCACCGCTTTCTTTTTATGGCTACAATATCTACTACTAATCAATCTTGTTGAATGAAAAGGGTGATCATGTGGTATAAAGGGCAGAATATAGGAGGAGATGTCGAATACTAAGTCTAGTATATGGAGGAAACAGGACATTTTATCATCTAAAAGTGCATAATATAGTTAGCCATCGATGTCCGTATAGATTGTTGAAAAAGCGGGGTTTGACATTTTAGTTAGAGGTAACGACATCGATCATCCTTACCATACATTGTTAGTACACCAGCTTTCTGTCAGCATTCCTTAATATCCTATTGGATATTCTTGCCTCTCTATTACCTTAACACCCCCACGATGCATTGATTCAGTTAGGCCATTTAGAAAGCTTTCGGGCACTATATCCTATACATCTCGAATGAAAACACGTAGTCTTTCTATCTTCATATCCTTGGGGCTATAGTGTTTCTATATCCATTGCTTTATACACGCCTATACATTCTCAATAGGGTTAAGATCAGGTGAATATGGAGGCCATTGCATACGTATAAGATTGTGCTGATTAAGCATACCGCATATCTCAATAGGGTTAAGATCAGGTGAATATGGAGGCCATTGCATACGTATAAGATTGTGCTGATTAAGCATACCGCATATCTCAATAGGGTTAAGATCAGGTGAATATGGAGGCCATTGCATATGTATAAGATTGTGCTGATTAAGCATACCGCATATCTCGCGAGACTAATGGCAGCCTATACCTTCACATGATCATCAAATCCTTAAATCCAATTAGTAAAAAATAATTGAATAACGGCAATAGTATAGTCGGCGTCTTCGTCTGTAAATATTAGATTGCGGCCCTTCGTATGAATATATATCATGGCCTAATGCACTATGACAGATAATTTTCTAAACGAGAAAGCGGTGATAAGAGGTGGTGGTCGGGTGGTAATGTGGGTACGGAAAACATGCGGTAGGGATTGTTGACGGAAAGCAGGTGTACGAACAATGTATGGTAAAATGACCAATGTTGACAACTCTAACTAACTAAAATGACAAAACCCGCTATTTCAACAATCTGTGCGGACCGTGATGACTAACTGTAATATGCACTTTTGTATGGTATGCCTGGTACCCAATGTCACATGATGTTTCAGGTTTAATACCTGGTTTCTACCATGTATTCGGACTTGGTATTCGACGATTGTATGTACGCTGATCGAGGTCTATCGCAGACTATGACAGACACGAAATCACAAAGGAGGCGAAATGCCCTCCGCATTGTGGTTGAAACTCTGGACCAAGTTGCATTGGTTATCATGTTATTTTCGTTAGCAAGTAAGTCTTGCGCAATCCATCGCTCCCACTCATGCCGGTAAACCAATTCGAAGGATGAAATCCCAGTCTAGCATGGCTCACACGCGCTGTGCGGAGTATATAGTGCGTATATATGCGTCTAAAAATTTCGGCGTTAGCATTTCCGAGGCCTCCAGACTCTACCTAATACCCACTTTACAAATGTACGTGGAGAATAGCCCAATCATTAGACGGATGAGGTCCTGTCTAGCGCAATAGGTTTGGTTACACTGCATTAGTGCGCAGTTGCAATCAAGCCTCCCCTGGGCCTCAAGTGTCTCGATCCTCATCTTCTCGTGGGCCATACCTAAATAGGCTTTCGGGCCGCTGTGGATTGTCCGGAAGCGAGGTGGATCTTCCCATACGTACCCCGCTTCGCTCGACTCCACCCGAACTTGCGGAGATAAGCACCCAGCCAATCACACGATAGCCTTTGGGGTACTAAAAGCTTAATTGGCATGGCGGATGACGATCGTCTAACAAAGCGGAGTGAGAGAACTTTGGGCTATGGCTATATCTCTTTGTACGCGATGAGGATTCTATCTCCCCTCACTTGTCGTACTCTGGATGAGCGAATGTTCTCTTAAGTCAAGGGCAAGGATGGACCGAGCGGGGACTAGTAGGGTTTCGTGGACCAAGCGCTCATCTTGTTGCCTCGTTTGAAGTGCTCAAGTGGATCATTTTGGCCCTCGAGTGTAGCCAATGGGTCAGATTCTTGATTCTTGATTGGGAAGTGACCGCGAGAAACTGCGTGGTAGCGGATTGAGGATTCTACCCAACCTGCCCATTCGTCTTTGCCAATTTGAGATTCCTTTAGCTCGGCGTTGCCTTTCCTCCGCCATCCGTTCGACTTCCAGTACGGGGTCGTAAGCCCAGCCTCTGATTCGAAAAGCAATAATCGGCTTTTGCCGCAAACTATAAAGAATCTAATCCGCTTATATCGCTAGGATCGCGTTTCGTTTTCTAGCCAATATCTGAACAAGAGCGTTGTCGTTGAAGGAATGCCGGAACCTGGAGGGACTAATACAGCAGCAATGGCTGCCGTTGACTCTGATGACTCGTTCAAAGCCAAGATCCAGTATCTTGCCAGAGACGACCAGCATCAGCTGGTGAAACCATATTATTTGTACTTCAAGTACGACTCCGAGATTGCTCCAACAAACACATCCCCTGATAATCGATTTGTCCACATCTGTAATGCTCGGAATCTGGGCATTCCGTCGAGAGAGATGTTCTTCGAGTGGGGGTTTTCTCAGCTGCGTCTTGATTGTCCATTGACACCTGAGGAGTATTACTACGATAAGAAAGTGGAAGAAGTCCTATACCCCAAATACAAATCGATTGCCCGGTTTCTGTTTCCAACTGCTGCGCGAGTTGAAGTCTTAGAGCACGCAGTAAGCAAAATACCCGAAGATGGAAGGCTTCAAAAGGCTGATCGAGCGGAACCAGGTTCGCAAACGTCACCCTCTTTGGCTATCTGAGGGTATAGAACGACACGAGCTTAAGACAAACCAACCGAGTGATTATGTGCACATTGGTACGCGCGCTTCATCGTAAGTATAACCTTTCGAACTTCGTATACTGATATATTTGATTGAATTCAGATATGACGGCCTCTTCGGCTGCAAAATGCAGTATTAAGCAATTTAACATCCCCTCGAAGAGTTATTCGAGATTCGTCGTTGTAAAGTATATCTTCCCAGATTCCCAATTTTATCCAAGAGCTTACCCTTCATTTCACCAGCTTCTGGAAGCCAATAAGAGGGCCAGTATACGACTTTCCGCTCACGCTTTGCGACCGCCGTACAATAAACTACGCATCTCAGGCCACTGCAATGGATATCGTTACTAGTGATTACGTTAACGAGAACACTCGGATATACTTTGACGAGAAGCACAAATGGTACTACTGGCACGGATTGCAGGTGGACGAGGTAATCGCCTTCATACAGGCAGATTCCCAAGCAGAGAACCAAGCAGGTATGATGGACTTTACCCCTGTCGTCTAGAGGATTTATCTCTTCAAATGTTGACATTGGAATTCAGGAGTTCCCCATACGGCTTTTCGAGATACTCGGAATAGTGACAACAAGCAGTTGCGGGAGAGTATTGAAGCTAGAGTGTTTGTTTATTTTGACTGAATGTACGGACTCTCAAGCATCCCGATCACACACTAGCGATATAGAATGAATAACATTTATTGTGGATAACAATCAACCTATCGTCTAGACTTTCCAAAGCGTTCTTTACTGTGAAACCAGTCTCCGTATCTCATCAGCAAGGCCAAGGGGGGAATAAAAGCGGCTGCGATCAAGGCTAGAACAGTGTTACCCCAGCCCTGTCCAATGCTTTCATATAAAGGAGGGCCAATTAATGGCAGAAAAGCCCCAGAAATCGCTCGGAAGATTACACCAGCAGCTATAGCAGATGCCCCATGGATCTCGTAAACATCTACCACGTATGTTTCGGCTGGTATGGCGGAAAGCGTCATGCTGAAACCCGCAGCACACGTTCCGATGAGCGGCCCGATGTATTGAACATGAAAATTTAATGTCCATCCGTAGATCAGAAAGCCCACAGGAAGAATAATTGCGGCAAAAAGCAGATGGACTAGCCGAGACTCCGGCTTAAATGCGTCGCCCTTCTTTTCCCGCTTGTAGATCATGTAGCGGTCGGAAGTGAGACTATAGAAGATCAAAGCGATGGTGTTGCCGATAGCTAGACTTAAAAATGTCAAGCCAATGGAGCCGCTAGAAAAGACGGTGGGGTACGTCGACTCCATGTTTTCCGTGAGTGTGGTAAGAATCAATGAGACTAAGGCGTATGTTATAGCCATATAGCTCGTCGTTAGAATGAGGATAGGAGATTGGGCCAGGATCTGCATTGGTTTTATAGCGCTTTCGAGCATAGTGGATGCATCGACACGGGCCTGATATTTGGAACGATACTTCTTGTCGTCCGCACGCTCCTCTTGTAACCGCTCCGCCTTCCGCCTCAGAATAACGACTATATATGTCTCCCGGAGCACAGCCAGTAATAAAAAGCTGAAGAATCCGAGTACGATGGCCGCCAGCCAAATCGACCATCGCCAACCTAGGCTATGTGCGATATACGCTCCTGCTATAGGTGATATGAAATCTGCTATCATTTGAGTTCCCATGACTACTGCCATAGACCGGCCGGTTTGTTCCATTCGGAACAAATCCCCGACGATAGCGGGCCCGAGGGTAAGAATGGATAGGAAGCAACCCGTTAAGAATCGGAATGCAATCAGCATAGGAATGTTTACGCTCAGGGCGCTGGCGATCAAGCAACAGAGCGCGAGGAGATTTCCAATATGGAAGACGGGAAGCCGGCCGAATCTTTCGGAGAGCGGTGCAATGAAAAACGGGCCAATCCCTTCTCCGAGCTCCCAAATCGTGACGAGCAAGGTCTGGTCGAGCTTATTGTGCGAATGGAACTCTTGCAAGATCTGCGGCGTCGTGGGCACAATCGTCATTGTCGAAAAGACACTAATTCGGTCAGTCGACGACGGCAGATATACAGAGACTGGCGAGACAAGAAAAAGACGCCCACCTAACGAAACCCATCCACGAAACAACGAACACAATCATCCATTTATGCATTAATGACCAATTCAAAGGGTTTTTCGGGTCGTTCTCCTCGAAGTCCACGAGAACGACATCTGGATCGCCGTCTCCGATGGCATTTTCCAATGGCTGTTTGGCGGTCTTCTCAATCTCAATCTCGCTTCCCGCCGCAGCCATGGGCTCTTTGCCTGGCACTTTCTGCAGCTCAAGTGAAGATAGACTGGAGATTGGGTGGGTAGCAGCCCCGTCGATGAAAGACATCAGTGTCAAGCGGGTGGCATACGCCAACAGTGTCCATTCAACTGCTGAGCGAGCAGGCAGGAAGGGGACAATGCGAAACAAAGCGACTGTTTAAGGGCCGACATGGTTCATCACGTGAATAGCCTAACGCGCAATCCATATCTAGAAAGAGGCGTACGTTGAGAAAGCTTGGGCAGATAGTCCCTGGAATTTTACATAATATTAGGTTACATCCATGGATGTTCTTTTAAATAAATTAGAACTGGCAGAATCCACCGATTGGTCGGTGGATTCTTTGCACATACATCGTCAACCTATCAGGATTTATCCCTAGTCCTTCCGTCCACGCTTCATCCATCCAAACGGCACGCTCCAGTCTGAGACCATGGGACAATCAGTACCCATGCCTAGCGAAGGAAATGAGCCACAAGGCACAGCCAGCACGCGAGGCCATGGGTGTGGATTATTAATTTATTACTAATTTTCTGCCTGGCAAAAACCCGGTTGGCGCGATGGCGTCTAAAATCTGCCGTAGTATGGCATGCCGCTGTATGACTAAATGGCGCTTGCGAGTCCTCAACCTGTCCCACGCTCCTTCCTCCACCCCGCACATACTTTTTCCAGTCAATACATATTGGTCTAACCGAGATGTCATCTCCTACCAGTGCCGGCGTCCTCCAGACACGCCAACTCATCGAGAATCATAGCATCTTGATCCGAGATGAAATATACGGAGAGGAACTGGTCCATGAGCCTGTTCTCGTAGATCTTCTTCAAAGCCCGGAGGTGCAGCGACTGCAAGGCATCTGCCAACATGGAGTCACTGGATTCTTGGGCCTGACACCGCGAGTCACACGGCTCGAACATTCGGTCGGTGCATTTATACTCGTGCGAAGAGTTGGTGCGACGGTCGAAGAACAAGTCGCTGCTCTTCTCCATGACATCTCTCATACCACCCTCAGTCACGTCATCGATCATGCCCTTTCCAAGCCTGGGGAAGGAAGCTATCACGAGGTACACAAGACACGGTATCTTGAGACGACGCGGCTGCCGGACATCCTCGCCAGACATGGGATTAACCAGAAGGTTTTCGAAGAAGAACAGTTCCCCTTGGTGGAGATGCCATCGCCTCAGCTGTGCGCCGATCGCCTAGACTATGCTTTACGCGACGCCGTTAGCTTCGGCAAGCTTGCCATGGAAGACGCCAGAAGGGTTGTCGGCTCACTGAAGGCGTTTCCCAGTGCTACAGCGACCCGCCGTCTGCTGGTTCTGGACGATCCCCATGTAGCGCTGATTATTTCTCGCGCATACATCACTACCGACAAAGATGTCTGGTCAAGTCCGGCCCATATCGACATATACCAGCGGACGGGCCGGGTGATAGGCGAACTGGTACAGGCAGGGTCTGTGGGTGATAAGGTATTGTGGCAAGTGTCCGACGCAGAATTTTGGACTCTGCTTCGTCAAGCAGCGAATCCTGAGCAGCTTCGCGCTATCGAGAGACTGGAAGAGGAAGGAATTCCAGAGGACAACGGACTCCGACTGCCACAGTGCGCTAAAATTCGCACTCTCGATCCAGACGTTTGGCAAGGAGGAGAAAAGCAAGCCGCACCGTTGTCGATAGTGTTGCCAACGTGGGGATCAGAGCGACAGCAGTACATTCTCAGTCGTAGTCAGCATCAATGATGACTATTGCATCGTAGATAGCTATGGCCGTCAGCAGGGGCCTTCCCTAGCACAGAAGGAATGCTCGTACTAGTCGAAAAAGTTTATATAAATAGTATAGTCCTCTAGAAGAAGGTAGTCTACGTAGTTCTTATTCCACTAAATCCAAAACCTATACTCGCGAGTTATTCCTATATACGATGCTTTGTTCTAAGAATTTCCCTCCTTACTTTCGCTAGTAGCGTTTGACGACGGCAATATCTAGTAAAGCCCTCGGTTTAAAGTTTAGAGGTAGCTATCTAAGACTACGGAAATGTTCTAGTCTGGTTTGAGTTTCCTTATAAAGAATAGGGTCAGTCTAGTATTAGTGTTTATCACCCTAAACTGACCGAACGAGCATAGGTGCTATAGTAAAAGGCTAGGATAAATAAGTAAGATTACAATCTCGAAACACGGGCAACAAGGTTGTTTAAGGTCGACATAGGAAGTAGGGGTTAGAAATAAGGTGAGAACTAGGAGAACGTGAGAGAGGGAGGAGAAGAGACAAGACAAAAAGCGAGGGCGCCTAGGCGGGACCGCAAAAGGGAGCCATTTTCAGCGTCGTTTGGGGTAAAAGCTCCCAGGAGCTTTGAAAATCTACGATTAGTATGATTTCTAATTGAACGATGTTGACTAAATACATCCTGCTTGTAATGGAAATATGGCCAAAGAAGCGGCAAATTTACGATGCCCATTCTTTGACTTCTTTGACTGAAAGGGAAAAGCCGTACAGGCCGAGCTAGCATGTCGCGTTTTCCAAATTGAGTCTGCTTAAGTCGCTTCTCAGTGAGTGCCCAGGTGAATCAGTCTGATTACATAATGATCACTGACAAGCTCAGGTTGATCCGGGTTGTGCTCAATTCTACTCAGTGAGCAAAAGCGGCGAGAGGGTGAGCACTAGAACGGAAGGGGAGCGCCATTGCTGGACAAAATCCGGTGTAGATATATACACACCGCTATTACATACAACATTCAGAATCTACATATTTCGTCCACCGGTAACCCGAATCGTCTCCCCATTAACATAAGAGAACCACGGCGACGCAACACCCAGAATCGCCCTCGCAGCCTCAACGGGGGTCGCAGGCCTGCCTAGCGGGATATCAGGATAGGTAGGAGCAGCAGCCTCCTGCTTCTCCTGGTCCACAGTGCCCTTCTTAGTCGCAAGCTGCTTGCCTGGAATTCCCAGAGCAACCTTCGTGCCGTCAGGGGTGGTGATGAAAGCGCCTTCTTCCTTGGCGGCGGTGAGACGTGTCGTCACAAAGCCGAAGGCGATAGTGTTGGACCGCACACCGAAGGATGGGCCCCATTCTTTGGCGATTGTGCGGGTCAGGCCGACAACACCGGCTTTCGCAACTGCATAATTGGCCTGGCCACTGTTTTAATCAGTTAATATGTAGTCTTTAATATTTGTTGTTGTTGTTGGGCGTTGTGAAAGCGAGAGAGTGGGGGCTGGGTCTTGGATATCGGGTACG